CTAAATTATATTATTTTATTTATTTACCTATATAAATTTACTATCTTTACTTAGTAAATATAATAATAATAGTAACTAAACTATTATATAGTATTATAGAGGTAAAAACCTACTAGTAAGTAACTTATAACTACTATTATAAAAAAATCTCTAGATAGATTTATTAACCTTTAACTTTACTTATTAATATTATTACTTAATAATAGTAACTTTAGATTAATTAGTATATAAATAAATAATATAATTAGCCTTATAGATAATAAATTCTTTACTTATAAAAAAAAAAGCTTAAAAAGGCTACTTTTATAGTAAAACCTAAGTAGTTACTTATAGCTAATAACTTTATTACCTTTAATAGTAGTATATTATCTATTACTACTAATAGTAAGCTTACCCTTTATTAAAAAGGCTAAGGTAAAAAGCTTTAACTTATTAATAAGAAATTACCTACTGCCTAGTAAATTATATCTAGTAATACACCTATAGTATATATATTACTTTTATTTATTAACCTAAAGCCTACTTTAACTATTTAGTTACTACTTAACACTAATTACCTATAGTAAAAAGATTAAAGCTTTAAACTACTAAATTAAATAGTAAATTAATAACCTTAACTATAGCTATAATTCTTACTAATTAACCTTATAACTACTAAGCTCTTTATATTTATTAATAACTTATTTATAAATAACTATAACTTTACTTTTTAACTTAGCTTTATTATAGTCTTTACTAATAAATAAATTATTAAGTAACCTACTACTAATAGTAAAAGCTTTAAATTAACTAGTAATATTATTTACTTTAGCTTAATAAAGTATAAAAGAGTTATATATAGTATACTTACCTCTAAGGTCTATAAAATAGTTACTAGTACTAATATTACTTATATAATTAGTACTACCTTTATAATAATTACTAACTACTTAAGCTATTATAAATACCTATAATACTTATACTAACTTATACTTACTTTATAAGTGCCTTATAAAGCTTAACACTATAAAGAGAAGTAACTTATAATAAATATTATAGCTTTTACTAGTTATATAAATATTATAAGATTTATAAGATATAGTAAATTTATAATAGTAATAACCTAGTAAATAGATTTATAAAGTTATTACTAAATAATATATTAAAGGAGCTAGTTAATAATAGGTAGTTAGAAATATAAATAAATAAATAAGTCTTTTATATATAATAAACTATATAAGTAAAAAGTATTAAATACTTTTTAGCTTTTTATTTTTATTATATTTTTTAGCTATTCTTTTAAATATAAATAATAAAGGATTTCTAGTACTATAGAAAGTTACTAGTATTATAATATTAACTATTATAGATAAATATTAGAGTTATTAAGTTAACCCTAATAACTTATTACTAGTAAATCCTTAGATATTTAGCTATAGATTCTCTAAGGATTTATAGGTAATAAGTTAGTTATTTAACTAACTAACCTACAATAATTATCCTTCTTTTTTTTACGTATAATAGAGAACTACAGTTACCCTTATTATTTATTAATTACTACTAATATATATAGTTAACTATATTAACCTACCCCTTGGTGTTACTAACAGTAAGCCTATCTACTGTCTACAGTTTAATATAATAGACCTATTGTATTTATTAGCGCTATCAAGCTTTAGTAACAAGGAAATATATACTATATAGTGAGTTGTAGTTACAGAGAGTACTCCAGATATGGTCAACCGATCTTGAATGACTTATCAGATTACATTTCCAGGCTAAGAGCGAAGCGCTTGCTGCTTAACGAGCGTATCAAAGCCTTCGTGACAGGCATATTTCAATGCATGCGATCTCATATGTAGAAGAATTGGAGGGGCAGCCTCTCTTAGCGATGACCTAAATACATGTTGCTCTTCTACCATGGCGCATCGCCTGCCGCACACTGAATGGAGAATCCATCGTTGGTGCTACAGTCGTGACGAACAGCCGTCTGGCCATCACGGGAGACAGAGAAATGCAGTCTCGTATCTATCGTCAGGACTGGTGGTTTGGTCGGACAGTGTCACCCTTGCCGACAAAGCCCAACCAATTATCTAGTAATCTCCAGTTGCACATGAAGTAGATAACAAGGTGTCTTGTCGGTTTTAAACGTCATGCCGCTTCCCCTTATCCCGTCAAGCGCTTGATCGACATTAACTTAATCGCCCTTACGCTTTGCTTCTTGCGTTCGTCAAGTGACCCTCGCCGTATAGTGGTTCTCGAAGGTCAAGTGCGCCACCTTTTTCGCCGCTTTGGTGTTGTACCAGGTCGGCCAAGTGCTGATCTGTATTGATAATACATCGTAGAAGGCCAGGCCTACCTACCAATCATGTCGAACCCATTCCCCTTACTTACGTTAGCCTGATCCTCTTGTAATGACTGCTGGCATGATAATAATTTGAAAACGTAGCCAATAGTAGCTCTGCAATACTATGAGGCAGAGGAGTCAGGCACCCACCATCACGGAACATATTCTCTAGGGAAATCGCATCCCGAAATGCTTCTCTGCACATCTACCTTTACAAGGTCTCTCAACAGTCTAAGATTTGGATTACATTTTCAATAACCAACACCTCGCCCTCAACTATAGTCGGCTGCCTCCTCAATGTGTCCAGGTCCATGCGCGAAGCTCTGAAGCTCGCTCAGTCAGAACGCCACTACAACCCCAATGCCTATGTTTTCATTAGCGACTTCAGACTTGATACTAACAAAGGATATCCACCTGCAATTAATCTTTGCGAAGCTGCTGGGACCCTCTAGAGAACACCAGTCCTGTCATGACCTGCTCATCGCGCAAGCCAATGCTGAAGGCGTACCGCATATCAAGAAGTACATTCTTAAGAAACTAATAGAAACAAGGCGCAAATTGTCAATGTGCATCTTGAGCAACATCAAGAAAAGATTAAAGAATTTGTCAATACAATACCAACCAATGAAGAGATACGCCAGGAGAAAGAGATGCCTAAACAGAAGGGTACAGTTATAGGGTCACTTGTAGGCGGTGTAGCCAGTTCTACTCTTGGCCCTATTAGGTTTGTGGGTGGCCTCGCCATGGGTTGCCGTTCTGGTCAACATGCTGGCAACCTCGCCGCTAATAAGGGCAAAGATCGAAGGATTGAGAATTCAGAGGCGCTGAGGCTTGCGCGCTGCATGTACGTAGAATAGCAGAAAGACTTACTAACCTAACGCCACAGCTAGTAGGTGAAGTGGTTTGTCTTTTGGAGCAACTACAGGAACGTCCGGAGGCAGAAGACAAAACCGCCAACCCTACCTTGCTAGACACACTTCGCCAGCACACATACGGATGTACGCTGTTGCAGCACGCGCTGAACCTGTCACTAGAGATATTTAAAGGGTATCCCAAAAAGAAACACTGCGTTCTTGTTGTGATTTCAGACAGCTTCTCAACCAATAGCAATCCAATGCCTGTAGCACGAAGCCTACAGCAGGAGAACGTGAGAATTACATCTATCTACCTCGCCAGCAACCCAGAAGCAACTAAACGTCCCTTGCACTACCAACCAGCAGAAAGCTAGCACTATAGCCAGCGCTTGCTATTCAACATAGCACCAAGAGTCGCCAGCGTAGTGCATCCAATCCTGACCCTAGCTTCTATAGGCTAGAGCATTCCCTCGGCCAGCAAGATCGCATTATATAGCATTATGTTAACCTTAGCAGCTCTTAATAAGATTTGTTCACTACTACTATTAGTACGCCTTAGTTCTACAGATATAATACTTAATCTTGTAGGCAGATTTAAACTTAACAAGTATGTCAACAACAAGAATATCTACAGATTTTAGAATCCTTTAGACTACGGGCAGGAGCCTATATACTATACGCATGCTGCCGCTGCAGTGATTTGTATAGCCATATGTCATATCTTCAGTTAGGAAGGCAAGTACAATAACGTTAGAACAGTTTAGCAACAGATCTTAAAAGCCTACCTAGCACAGCCAAACAGATAAAATACTAAAGTCGTATTAGAGAATGCTACTAGTTAGTATTAGTTATAAGTCCTAGAGGTAGATAAGGATGCAGCCTGCCAAGCGGTGCTCTGTTGCCACCCTGTGCTTGCAACATTCTATCTTTCAGAGAAAGACTAGGGTACATCCTACAGTCACTTCAAAGAACCAGAAGATAAGTCTAAGCTAGTCCTTAAACAGGTTTAGATAACAAAAGACCGTTCCCTGCCCAGTACCAGTGGCCATGCTATAGTGTTAGTTAACTGCAGACCCAACTGCCTCACCTTCCTGGATTCGTAAGGCAAGATCTAGGGAAACAACATTAGCTTTAGCGTCAAGGACTACACTGTCTTAGAGGTAGATAGGTCACCAATGCGGTTCTATAACGTATACTAGTTGCAGTCTAATCCAACTCTAGTAGAGTTTTAATTATACAATGCTAAAGTAGACACAGAAGTGAGCTAGCTTGCCAAGCAATACCTGGGCATCTTTGACCTCAAGCTGCGCTGTCCCTACTGTTAAGCTGATATGCCTCTTAGTGGGTTTATTACCAACGCCGACAGCGTCTGCCAAGTGCAATGCGTGAGGTGTATTCAAATTCTCACGCCTGAGCCCGAGTATCTCAGAACCTAACTGTCGCGTATAGGGAAGTGGAGAGAAGCACCTGAAGTATTATGAACGAAGCCTACTTGAGACGAGGCGCTACTCCCATCAGTCGGGGAAGCAGATGGAAGAGCTACACGCGGCGATGAAGATTACTTTTGATACTTGCTTCAGTGATTCCCACCTCCCAATGTGATGTTCCATCGTGTGTGCCATTCAAAGGTATGCGAGGGGAGTTGATCTTGCCGCATCATCTCAAGCGCATTACCGGCACGTTTCGAACTCACCGGAAGCCGTCCATCTTCAGCAACCTCACGAACCCATCCGTTAGTCCGACTGCAAGTCTACACGGCCCACCCGAGCTTCCCGTCATCTTTACCTACTCTGGAGCCACCAAGCTCAGTATTATGCTATAGCCCACCCAGGATGACCTGAAGTTTACTTCAACACGCCGAGGCCATCCACCGCCGGATGCCGGTTTGACTTGCCATGCCCTCTCTAGCACCCACTCGGATCGAGGTTATTGGAAGGTTCGTCCAAACGGACAAAGCGCCAATTCCAGCATCCTAGTAAAGTTTTTTTTCCCTCTCCAGCCCAAGGTATGACTCTGACAGAGGCGGAAGTCTCTTCTTCTGACGCCGAGCTTGATTCTCGAGGACACTCCTGTTTTCGGTTCTAAGCTGGCCTGCTTACCAGGTTATGCAAACCAAGCCCCCCCCCGTACGCAGCGGGGGAGAGGAAGTGGGAAGCTTTTCGCAGAAACATTTCCGCCCTCATCTGAAAGCAACATAACAAACTGCTGATTCGGCAGACGACCGCCCACGAACACGGGGGTTTCACCGTCTCAGCTTCAGCATGGCAACTCCCCCGAAAGGGGCACATACCCATCGCGTTACTCTCGGCCCATAGCGCGCGCTGTACTCCCAAGAGTCAGGAGACGGGTGCCTTTTGCGCTCTCGCTCTCGAACCGACAAGGCCCCCCCCGTCCCTGCTCGAGGAGCAGCTTCGGACCGAATTTTGACTCCCGGCCGCAGAACATCTCGTCACAGAAGCCCTTTCACACCCTTTCAGCGTCTATGGGGGTGTCGGACTCGAGGGTGACATCGTCCCTGAGACGGGTTGCACCTGCCAGCACCGACCGGCTGTCCCGGCATTTGGACTGTTCTCCCGGAGGTGGAAGTCGCTAGGCTTGGGAGGAGCTGCTGGGACGAGTTTCGGTAGAGGCTCGACAAAGCTACTGAAAAGCGCCGCGGCGGCGTCGATCCCGGGGCCAAGGAAACGTACACGCGCCCCTGTTTCAAAGCCTCGGAGGTGGGACGGGCAAAGGTGCGCTGTTGGCTAAGTGGCTGCAGCTACAGCATAGTACCTTCATCACTATAAAGGTCGACGCTGGGATCACAGTTGTAGTGGGACATGTATTAGACGTGTAGGTTGAATTTGTGCTACCTAGGTCTATAACATCTTCCTTGCCTTGGGAAGCTAGGATAGGAAAGATGTACAGTTTACTGAGAAGTGACACCGGCATCGACATGCCATCTGCCTCGACTCGGCCGAGCACTCGTCTCTGATCGACCGGCCCGGCCGATCGGCTCAAAGACGTATGCCGATGGGAGCATCATATCGGGCAGTGATGGGGGGTACTCGTCCCTGCCATCGATCCCCATTCTTCATCTTCGTCCCCACACTCACTCAGGATATGGACTTATTAGTCGAGAGAGAGAGAGAGAGACGGGGGAGTTAGATTACGCCGAAACGGCAGCGTCCCTGTGGCACCTACGACCATCGTTGCCCGGAAGGGATAAACGGTCACCGGCTTCAACCACTACGATTGAGGAGGAGGAGGGGAGCCGTGCTCAACGGCATCAAGCCTGCGGAACGGACCCGGCGAAGGAACCCTCCGCCGCCGGCGCCTGCGTCGGTGCATTCCACAAATCGTCGCTCGTTACTGGGTACGCCGTATCTAAGAAGGACATCTCGAAAGAGGGGGCGGGCCAAACATCGCCGTGTAGCACGCTCTCCCGTCCTTATTTTGAATGAAATAACGAGGGAGGGGAGGAGAGGGCAAAAAGAGACACGGAGACTGGATTCCCGGTGGGATAGGCTGGTGGTGTATATGCATACATACCTCAGCCATCCTGATCATCCCCCCAGGCACACCAATAAGCCCAGGGGACAAGGGGGGGGAGAAACCGACTCGTCCACTCTCTCCTTCCTGAATACTACAACGAAAGAAAAAGAGGAAAACGAGTTGAAGCAGACCATATCCACCCCCGTCGCATCTTCTTGATACGCCCGTGTCGAGGAACTAAGCTGGCGTGTGGATGCTGACAAGACTTCGGCCAGGTTCCTTTGTGATGCTGCCATTAGATAGGCGGGTTTCGAGACGCATCAGCAGGCCATGTAAGCCAGTTCTCGAATCAGCAGGTTTGACGAAGCGCCAGCTTGATGGCATCATCAACCTGCACGACCGCGCAAGCGAGGATCATGCAGCTTACCGTACCGCGTTACTCGTTAATTCCCATCGTCGTATGCAGGAAGCAACACGATCGGAAAGCCAGCAGAGATCCTCATATACACGTGGACGAGACAGCGGGGATGGCCAGGTTATGAGAGCAATGGCAGGTTTTTCTTTTTTCCGTCTTCCCATGCTACCCTAACTAATCAAGCCAAACCAGGCCGAACGCTTTCTGCTCAAGCGACTGCGCGTCCATCTTCCCAACGCCCAGTGTATGAAACCGGTACCCATTGTGACAAACGAACGAGTCGATTTCTTCAATTTCAAAGACTCAGTTTCTCAACTTTTATCCATCCCCGCGGGCTTTTTGCCGGACGGTCCGACCTTGACCGGGCTGGTGAATGCAACACGGTACAAGACCAGCGCAAAAACAACCAAGGCGGCTAGGGTCGACAGCAGACAACGCGAGGCCATGCCCGTATTGGGGGACGCTCAATGAACTGCAAAAGGGGCCAATTCCCATGCCCGATACCGAGACCCAAAACCATTCCGACACAAATGATAACCGTATCCTTTGGAACCTATCAACCCCCCCTCCCCCCCCCCGTACCGTGTGCTAGAGGTTCTGGTCCCTTGACCACTCACATAAAACCAGACCGAAGGATGAAAGCAAAACAAGACGAATCGACGAGCTGATAATGACCGCTTTTTGAAGGTCCAGCAAGAGTGAAGGCAAGATCGAATTATGCATTAAAGGAACTCCTTGTATGCTGTTCGTTCCTATGTACCATCCGTAAAGGAGAATCATTCCCTCGACACTGCGTTGAGCTCATCAGGTATGAGTGTTAAAAGGAGTGAGAAGAGCAAGGCTTATTTCCCACCCTCCACGCGTTTGACTCCGGTATGCCCATCGTATGCTTGGGAGTGTCGTCATCAAGTCGGATCGAGGGTCATGAAATGTAAAAACTCTTTGAACGCCCCGCGATGCCTTGGCCGTCCCTGGCCTTTGGTATCGAGATACCGATTAACGCCGTTGGTTGAAGTAAGGCCAGTTTTTTGTCGAAAAACACAATTGAAAAACGTCAAATGACGAAGCCGCAGAGGTGATGCGGTTATGGAGGAGAGCGAGAAGCGCCGTAATTAACCCCTAATTGCTGTTGCGGCATGAGTCTCCGTATTGAATGGAAATCGCTCCTGCAGCTGCTGGGCGTATGGAAATTCATTCGGCGACGTACCGGCGAAAGGAAAGCCACCCGTCGAGGCCGCCGAGGGGGCAGACCTCATTGTCGCTGGGGTGGAAGCCTGACTCGGACGATGGTTTGCGGATCGCTCGGGTTGTTGCAAGGTGGCGTGGTTGAGTGGAGATGATGCGGGAGACGCGCCGTAGGCTCCCAAAGGGTGGTTGAAGTAAGGGTTGGAATCGCGCATGTGAAAGGCGTGGTGCTGCGCGGGCCCAGCGTGCTGGGCCTGGTGGGCCATGCTCGGGCTGCCGTTGGAGCTCGAGGTTGTGCTGTTGGAAGCCCGGGTGGCAAAGCCGTCGTCAGCTCCGTCGAATTTTCCACTTCTCAAAGTGCCATCCTTGATCTGCGGGCTAGACTGCTTGGAGCCGAACTGTTGAGTGCCAAGGTCAGTACATGCTTTCTGGGCTGAGAGCGGGCGATCGTTGAGAGTCGGTGAAAGGGTCGGGCATGGGTGATGGTTGACCAGAAGTACGTACAAAGCAATATTTGTTGACCAGCTCCTCGTACGATGAGGATGCGAGTATGGTGTTAGGTGAGTCGGTGCCAGGAACAGTAGGTCGCACAGCAGACTTGGGGATAGCGGGGGCGCTTCTGGTGGCCGCTGGGGGTGGGGCAGGCTTGGTCTGCTGAGGCTGCTGCGGTTGCTGGGAAGGAACCTGGATCTGGCGGTGGCTCTTCATATAGAGCCCGTCCGGGTTGCGGTCCCTAACCATCGTATCCTTGGCGGCCTGGACGGCGGCAGTGAGGGAGGCGCCAAAGTCGTAACGGTTGGCAAATGCCTGACCGCTGGGAGCAGACAGCCGGCTGGGGAGGTTATCGCTAGCCAGATTGCCGGTCGACTTATTGACCTTGAGGCGGAGTCCCGTCGGACCCGACTCGCCTAGGTACTCGTGGATGGGTTGCTCGAAGTTGAGTTTGGATTGGTTGGGGAAGTCGTCGAAGCCGACAGGCATGGACTTGGGGCGAGGAGCTGAAGCAGGGCTGGAGCGGCGGTTGCTGCGGGGGAGAGCGGGCCGGCTGGCAGCACCCTGAAGGCCTCGCTTGCCATTCTGAGGGAGATACTTCTTGCGGAAATCGACTTGGAAGTTGGTGCCGATGTTGTTGTCCCAGAATTCCTGGCCGTTCACCGTGTACCTGATGCAGAAGAAAAGCGTCTTGGTCTCGAGGTTAGCCAGGTCGGACAGCTTGATGGTGAACGTAAAGCGGTCTTGAGAGACGGGCCCGTCTTGCTGGCGGACCTCGTGCGAGTACTCGGCGGCGACCTCGGAAGTGGTCTTCCAGTAGTCGAGGGTGAACCTGCAGGTAACGGATTTCTGGAAAGCGAGGTTGGCGACGGCGACGGACCCCAAAAGGTTCTTCTGGTCGGGCGACAACCATACTCTCTCGAGGCGCACAGGAAGAGACCTGCGGATAGGGGTATCGACGGGCTGGCTAGCCATGACAATCTCCCACTCATAGGGGGGGCTGCGGGCGCCGCGGCGTTCATCTCCAGGGAAAGGGTACTCGGTGTCACTGTCGTAGTTATCGACCGGCGAAGATCCAGCGCTAACAGCGAGTGGCCTGTCAACCTGAAGAAAGTGGCGAACGTGCTCCAGGTGGGAGTCGAAGTGGACTGCCTTGGAGAAGGTTGGGGTGCCGGGCATGCTGGACGGTCTCCGGCGAGCAGAGGCGGGCCGAAGAGCAGGGCGGACAAGTTCGCCAGACTTCTTGCGCACCATGGGGGGCTTGGCTTGGTTGTTGCCGTCCGAGTCGGATTCGGAGCCGGTCGCAGAGACTGGTTCGTAAACAATTCTGGGCTCGGTGCTCGATCTGGCGTGGGTTGCGCGGCGAGCGACGGTCTTTGCGAGGGCATCCAGCGAGCTGGTGCTGAAGCTAGTAGGAAAGCCCTCCTTGGGGAGGTCGTCCTTGGTGATGAGAGCCAGGGTTGGCTGGTCAAGCTTAGAGCGCGTGGGCGATGCTTCCCGGTGGACGGGAATCTGGCTAATGGCCTCTTGAAGCTCCTTCAAGTTCTCGATCTGCCTGCCCCGTTCCGCGACATCTTCTTCTTCGCTGCCAGAGTCCGGCGGGGAGATGATAGCGCCCTTAGGCATACCTCTCTCGTCCGTCAACGGGGGTGGCGATTGCCGCACGCTGCTGTTCGTTGCCATACCTTTCAAGTCGTCTGATGTACCGGGAGGCGTCGGTTGGTCGGAGGAGTTGTTTGGAGGGGCATCTGTCGCCGCGGCAGGGGTCCTTCTGTGCTTTGTGAGGTACGATGCCGACCTTGGTAATGAAGGTCTCGGGCTGGATTGGAACGATGAGCGGCGGCTGATGTCGGGCGAAGATGGTGCGGAGCTCGCGGGCGACCGGCTGTGGGAGGGAGGTGTGTAAGGCATGACGAGCGTGTCTCTAATATTTAGGAGGTAGGTTTTGGTTGTAGGTCGGATTCGTGCACCCGGCACGGTGTTTGTGGAGTCCGTGACGGCTCGGAATAGTGTAAAAATGCAAATTGGTATCAATTCATGCGGAAGAAAAAAATAGGATAGTATGGACGGAGCGGCCGGAAAGTGACGAAAGGGTTGCCGGTAGGATTAGGTTTTCTGTATTATCGGAAAGTTCTCGTCAGTCCGGTCTGATGACTTTTTTTCCCCTTCCTTTTCCCCCCTTCAAGATTTGGAGTTGATTGATTAAGGAAATGAGTGGTGGAGCATATAGATCGAAAATCGAAATCGAAACAGCCGAAAAGGAAAGAGAAAAGAAGAATCAAGGAAAAGAGGCAATGAAAAAAAGGGAGGGAGCGGATGACGGCGGTGGCGTAGTAGGATACAAGACGCCGCGGTAACAAAATGATGAAAAGGCAGCGACACACGCAAAAGGAAATGCAGTATGACTGAATGGTGAAAAATAAAAATAAAAACGATGTAGCAATGACGGAGATGGTGTATTTTTTTCTTGATCTTTTTGTCGGCGATTTTCGGTTTTTACAAAAGAATGGCTGGGTATGGAGTCGTGGTAGACCACTTACATGGATGGAGAAATCCTACAAGGAGAAGTGCGGCTCAAGGGCTTTTTGCACTGGCAATATTCCAGCAACAGGTGCAAAATGAGAGCTCTTGTTTGCTAGGCGACAAGGAATGTCGGTAGCTGGGGAGGAGGGTCCCGTGGAGATGCCGTCGAAGCAGGTGGAATGCAATGACGAGTCTAGGACCGGGGGCGAGGTGTCTCGAAGGAAGGGGTCCGATGGGGGCGAGATGCGGCGAGGCCAGGCGAGAGAGACGCACGACAAGGTGGCTTGCGGCGTTCGTGGGGATCGTGGGTCGAAATTGTTCGGAATTGGGAGGAACACGAGGACGGGAGACGAGACAGTTGAGCCTGTCTTGAGTCGAAAAAGGCAGAGGAGACTGTCAATAGCGTGAACTATGGGGTCAATCCTTCCGTGCCTGAGAGAGAAGAGAGCAATGTCGATGACTCTCTTTGGTGCTGGTTCGTGTGGTGGCCTTCCTTCTTGGTGGTCAGGAAGAAGAGAAGGTTCGGGTCTCTTACGACAGGTGACGAGGAGGAGGATTGAGAAGTCGGTGGTGGTGGTTGACTTTGGTGTTTGAAGCACACAAAGATTGTGAGAGAGCAATCTGGTGGGCGGCTCCGGAGGGGACGGAGTGGTTTTGAATGGTGAGCACAGTCCCAGCGCTGCTCCCCCGTCCAACCCGAGTTTCCAAGTGCAGCGAGCGCGGCGGCGGCAGCAGCAGCAGTAGCAGCAGGTACCGCTTCCAGCAAAAAGAGATGGTGGGAGGGAAAAAAGCTACCAGGCCGTTTAGTCCTGGTCCCGGCACCACCAGCAACTACGTACCGACACACACACACAGACACACTCACTCACTCATTCATACCCACACACACCCTAAGTGCAATGGCGACTAGGACCAGGATCTCAAGTGGGAGGGGGGGTGAGAGAAAGTAAGCCGGGACCGGGGGTGTGGGTGGTGTTGCTGCTGCTGCTGATGCTGCTGCTCTAGGTTCTGTTCCAGGCGGCGGAAGGTCACAGTAGCACGTACCTGATGGTCAGGGGCATCCCTGCAAGAACAGACAATGGCGAAAGTAAGAAAAAAAAAAATACTGTGGAGGAAGGAGAAGACGCACGGTTCATAGGACCCACCCGGTGTGGGCTGGCCGTAGGCGGGTCGGTGACGAGAGGTGTGTGTTGAGGAGGCGAAAGAAGAAGATGGGAGGAAGGTGCGAGGACGAAAGATGGCCGGGGTGGTGGAAGGTTGGGGTGTGTGGCGGGCTCTGGGGTGTGGCCTGAGCAAAAATCCGAGGAGGGGAAAAGGGGGGGGTGTTCGCGGATAGGGTGTGTCGTGGGAGAAGGGTGGGGCGGAATGGAAGGAAGCAAAGAGACGAGGCGACCTGCGCGGGATAGTGGCACGGAGACGGCAAGCCGGACTGGCTCGACGACGCTGGTTGCGTTGAGGAACCAACCTGGCCGTCCGGTATTGGCGTATCTACCTCTCTCTTGTTCCTCCTGTCGACATCGGGCCAGTGCGGGTAGCTGGACATGAAGCTGTGTTTCCTAAAGATACAGACAGGACAAGAGATCAATGGAACGGTCGCCGCTGATGCCCGTTATGAGAATACCGAATACCGCGTACACACCACATCACACCACATACAATGCAAGTCGAATGAGGGGCAGCCACCAGGCATGCGTGTCCACCGCTACCATGGACATCTACACTACCAGATGGGCATGTACCATACGCAGTAGCAGGTGGTATACAACCTACCTACACTACTACTTGCTGCCAACAACGAGAAGGGGGCGGGGGGGGAGGCGACGGACGACGCGCACGGCACGACAAGTGTGCTCTCTACTGTAAGCTATCTGGCCAAGTCCAGAGGTCACGACCTGCGCACCAGGGGATACTCTACTGTAGGTATCGGACCAGAGAGAGGCTCGCTGCCTGCAGTCACCACCCCCTCCTCCATTGGCAATAGTACCTTTGGCAAATGCACCACGACAAGTGTGCAGCGACTGGCGCCCGCTGTCTTTGGCCTGAGCAGAGCATGCGGCGGCAGGCCCGCCAGTCGTGCTCGGGCATGTATGTGGTTGGTTCCGTTTGCTTTGGCCCGACTTCGGTCTACTTCACGTCTGCTCCATTGCCTTATCGACTCCCTCGGACCGGATGGAGATGGCATGCCCTGATTTGTTTTGAATTTTCCCCTTTCTTTTCGGTTTGGAGACTGCTACCGGCCACCGTTACATCTGCTCCGGTATCGAGATTCATGGTTGCGGCGGCGGGGGTAAGACGTTGAGGTTCAGGTAGAGCTAAAAATTTCCAAACCAGATCAGCCAGCAATGACCTTACCCTGGCCATTCGTTCTCATCCACATGTAGTACTCCGTACAGGAATACACCAAGGTCCCAAAGCCACAAAGCTCCCCGCAGAGGACCCAATAATACCCATGCCCACCGCCGAGGCATGTATGCTTCGCATTGTCAGTGTCAGCGCCGAGAACAGACAAGCAGAGGACAATTGAAACATGAAGTGGCCGGGGCAAGGACAGGCGGTGCTGGGCGCTGGCCGGCGGGGAAACAGCCAAGCAGCCAAGCAAGCCCGGAAGATATCAAGGTTCCATTCAGTACGAGGGGGATTGAGTTGAGCCGAACTCAGTGAGTACGGACGACGTGGAGGGAGGGAAAGGCCAGGAGAAAGTAGTCCGGCTTTGAGATGTTGTCAGTCCTCCTTTCTCGGTCAAGACTGCCTAGTGCCTGGGCGGGAAGGGAGGAGGAAGAGGAGGGAGGCATGAAAGCCACAGAGCCACAATGCAAAGGTGCTCACCGGCCAGCGGCGGACGACACTCTCGCACAGTACAGGAAACAGGTTGGGGGCTGGATGGCGGACAGTGAAAGATGTTTGATGGGACGGACGGTGGGATGTCCCTTCCCTCTCTCTCTTTCGCGAAAGGAGAAGGGGAAAAAAAAAAAGGTGAGAAGGTGGGGTCGGTCGATTCCACGCTAGCAGGGGGAGATGGGTAAGCGTGCGGGGTACGTACCGACTGGTTCGAGGGCCGCGCAGCAGGAGCAGGGGACAGGGATCCGACCGAGCTGGCTTAGCGTTGGTGCTGATTTAGAAATGATGGTCCCATCATTTTCTCAAAGAGCATGACATCCAGCCAGCGGCTCTCGACAGGCTCGAGACTCTTTGACTATCCAGACTCGATAGAACCTAGTCCAACCCCAGATAAGCCGACACTGCACAGCACGCACTTATCCGCCTTACCCAAACATCCAATGAATTTCCATCGACCAAGTCAAATACTACAGGCATGTACCATACCTACTACTACCTCCTACCTACTGGTATAACCCCCCTTCATCTTGCAGGTTTGCAGCAGCAGCGGCGGCACTACGCCTCATGAAAACAATGTGCATTGTTCTGTCAAGCCGAGGGGCAGTGTAACATTAAGAGTTGCCAGTCTGGCCACAACTCATGGACGGATACCTTAGTCTTGGTCCCGCTGACTATGTCAATATCTCGATTTGCTTCTTCCTCCTTCCGTGCGGGCCGTGAGGCAGTATCAGGGTCCAACCGCGCCGCTGGCTGAGCCGACTGAATGCGACGTGAGATACTAAATCATGCGGCGGCGACACCACCGTACGATGCTCGTCGGCGACGGCCACCGCCGCATTTGCGACTCCAGGAGGGGCCTTTCGTCTGTGTCTGGGTGCCTATGGTTTGACTCGAAAAACCTGCTTCAAGTAAACTTGAGTTTATATCTTCTTAGCCCTTTCCTCAACAGTCTCTACCCCCAGTGCGCCGTTTGGGCCTTTTCGTCTACATCATCGGTCCTCATCGGTTCTCGATTTCCCGTTTGCCTCGACGTGCCTGCCGTACATACCGGGCATGGCAGTTGGCAGGGCGGCCGGTATGAGAGAATACCGTTCGCATCGTCATCGAGCTGGGGACGGAGATTGTGGCGTTTCTTGTCTCTTATGTCTCTCGCTTGCCGAAGGGGAAGGGGTGGTGGGGCACTGTACGGTTGACACGGTCCCACCTTGCCGGGGAAGCTCTGTCTCTCTCTCGCTTTCACTCTTTTTGTCCGTCTTCTCGATTCTTGTCTTTGCGGCCAACAGCAACTGCCACACCCTGTTTTGGTCGCCTCAGCCCCGACCAGGCAATCAACGGCAGGACAGGAAAGGGCAGGGCAGGGCAGCAAGCGACGGCAGGAGGCAAAGGCGGCGACGCAGGCACAAACAGAACTCAAGCATGGGGGTTACACGATTTGCAGGCAACTGCGTCCCTGCCCTGCTTGCTGCTCCGCTGCTCCTTCCGGAGTAAGAGTTGAAGCTGAGTACAGCCTGCCCTGCATACCGCTTGCAATGCCCACCACCTGTCTTGGCCTTGGCTTCCAGGAGAAGGAGGAGCGTTCTCTAGGATGCAAAACAGCTGCCCCCTCCTCCGGTCGAGGAATTTCGCACAACATACGGAATACTAAACAATGAACACGCGTGCGGCTGATGAGGTGAGGTGAGGTGAGGCCCGCCGAGAAGAAATAAGCAAGTTGACAAATCTCTCACCATGGCATCGAGACAGGGTTATGATGTCATTGCTGGCTCCGAAATGTCATTGCTAGCATGTGCACCAACCAACTGTCGCGCGTGTCCCTCCGCTCTTTCTCGCTTGACCACTGAGACGTGCTTGCCTCGCCGGGAATCATCGTGAGGTCCATGTCATGTGGGGAGCAGGAAAGGGTGGGAAATAAAGCGGAGTGAGGACAGATACAGAGTACACGGACCCGAAATCCGAACTCTCACCCACAGCCAGCTCCAACCACGCCACGACGTGGCCCATTGTACCATGGGCACTACATGCATACACCGGGCCTTTCCCCTTCCCCTTCCATCATCAACAGGGCCGCTTACATCACCCTTTCGGCGTTACCTTATCTCGACCACCATCTTTCATCGTCTCCTTATCTGGAGCACCAGCCGTCTATATCCATCCTAAAAAAAGCGAGCAAGCTGTCATCGTGACGCTATTGTTCTGTTGGGGCGCGTCTCGGTCGCGTCTCACCTTCGCCATGATTCTTTCTTCCTTGTTCTTCGTATCTTTATTACATCGCCCCCTTTCGTGCACTACTACTTGTTTGATCCGCCAACCGTGGTCGAAATGCCCTCAGATGCCGCCCGCGCGGCCTTGACCGGTAAGGGGGCAACGACACGACTCGAGCAGCCTTTTGATATCGACTGGTCCTGCGCAGCGCGAACCTTATTGCTGGGACAGTCCAATTGCAGTATGCGGCTATTGAGGGCCCGCCGTTGACACGCAGCGATAGGAATCCGCCGACGGACCCGTCCTGACGATCAGATCCGCGCCCGTATTCGGTGGATACAACAAGCGACATGCCCAAGGATCACGCCTGGATGAGGCGAAGCGGAGCTGGAACCAGCACTCGAGACACTGGACGAAGATTGCGGATCGGAGACGGAGAGTTGTGGGATGCGCAAAGACACTGTCCGATCCACATTCCGCTTTTGTCCACGCTCCATGTCTTCTCTGTTTTGGACAGACGCCCCCCCGCAGCCGCCTGCCTGCTCTGGAACTGTTCCCAACAAGGACGAATGTATGATAAGCATCAAACACGCATGCGAAAAGCTTCGTTTCTTCCACGCCCTGCTGCTTGCTTCGGGGTGGGCGACAGGTCTTCTGGAATACCAGAGACCCGAGGCGGTCTGTCGGCCTGGTCAGTCAGGCGACCTTGCATCCCTTTAATGCGGGTGCCAGTGCCAGTGCCAGTGCCAGTGCTGATGCGAATGCTAACGCTGACTGGCGCTGGTGTTGGCGCTGTGTGTGTTGTGTGTATGCGTACACAGCGTTAGTAAGTGAGTGTATTCGAGTGTGTGTGTGTGTGTGTGTGTGTGTGTGTGTGTTACGCAACCAAGGCTAAGACAGTGCCAACCTGGTGGGTTGAGTGAAGTGTCAGTCAGCCAGCGCTTCGGCCGGGCCAGTGCAGGCGATGATAGACGATATGAACGACCGATGCCGGCGCCAGCATCAACAGCGGCCATCAGCGTCACAGCTAGCACTGGCATGGACAAGGATGGCACTGATGCTACTGTGTAGTACAGTATGTAGGGTCGAGAATGTTGAGCGAGTCCCCATCAACCATCATCTCTCGTAGCAGCCATGTCATGCCACGCCTTGGGGGCCCATTTGGCGCGCGCCCGGTATGCGGCATTGGAGACAACATATCCCAGTGAAGAATTTTTATCCCACGTCAAATGTCTCACTCATCCCCAACCATGGAGAACGGTACCGACACGAATGGACACGTCCGATAAGTCGAGAAAGCCAACCACTCAGCTGCCAGTGGACGTTGTAGAAATGGCGCAACGAAAACGCAAAGTCGCATCCTATTCTCCTGACACTACCGATGGTTGCATTGGCGATAGCAAATGTTTCTTTTTGCAAGTCCCCAGCCGAGTTAAACAATGGAGCAAAGCAGAGTGCCGCAGCTACTACCGGTATTACAAATGTTGCTTTGCCTTTGCATCGGCGATTGGGTAGAGTTTCGTTCCTTTTTTTTTTCTTCTTCTTTTTCTTTTTTCTTTTCTGTTTTCTTTTCCTTTTGTGGGAAAATGCTATTTGCCAAGTGCCTTGTCACCAACGACCTACTTACACAACAGGGGGAGGGAAAGGTGTTTCGATTGGGGTAAGAGCAGGCACCGCTCGGGCCGTTCAGTGGCTCCCGCAGGCGCGACTCTCCAGACCAAACGAGGAGATGGGATGAGGCGTGGCTTCTTTTTTTTTTCTCTCCTTCTTTATCTAATTCTCTTTCTCTTTTTTACCTACCTATCTGGTACATCTCTTTCTCCCCGATGTGGTCCAAGCTTTCTGCCATTGTGGAGATGGTGACGGACTCTGACTGGCCGTCCGGACGCTCGCGTACGGAAATGCTCACAGTCGACGAATGCTGCTTGCTATCTACTACCCAGGTACCTTGGTATTTCTGAGTATCCGTGGCCTAGTCATTCTCTCTGCTGCGTTTGGGGAGGTTTGCTGAGTTCCAATCCTGGCTTATCATGTCCAAGTAGAGAGACTGCGCCGATGGTGTTGCGGACAGGCCGGAGTGCGGGTTTTCGCAGCACCGTGCCGAAGTAGGTACGTACTTTGGGAAAAGGACGGGGAGCGAGGAAGGGGGGCGAGTGGGTATTCGCGGAGAGCATAACTGGATCCGAATGACTAAGATTCAACATGGGAATGGCAGGCAGCAAAGGTCCTAGATACGTACTTACTTGCCTGTAAAGGCCAAGTACCTACATAGTAGGTAGGTGCACGGTGCACGGTGCACCGCCCCCACACAATCGACCGAGTCTAGCCTCTCGATCCAAGGCTGTCCCTACCCCCCACCAAGAAAGAGGCATACCGACGCAAAACTGCTCTCTCCTTCCTTATCAGCGGGAGGTACGCACGTAGTTTGGAATAGCGTAAAATTAAAATTAAAATAAAATCAATTTGGTCAAATTAACATCCCGCTGCAACATCAACTTCTCCTGCTTCGACCAGTATGAAGCTGTGCTCCACCACCCGTTTCGGCCACGGCACGAACAGACCTCTCTTGACTGTCTTTTTCATCTTTTATGCGTATAATGCGCGAGACCCGGAGATGCTACTTACCATCCTTGCTCTTATCCCGTCGTTATCAATCGCTGCCGCTTCTATGCGGCAATGGCATGTATTCCCAGCTGCGTCTGCGTCCGAACAGGGAATTGCCTTTGACCGCTGCCCAGCCTAGCCAGCGAAGAAACACATCGTGGCTTTGGCGACCCAGGACAAGCTGGCTTACAACGATGACGATGGATCCTCCAGCCACTCTGGTAATTGCATCCATCCACCCAGCCACTCCACGACCAACGACAACAACAGCACACATCCAATCATGAATTGTCGCAATTCCACGTCGACTGCTGCGTCAGTGTTGGCATGTCCCACATCCAAACTGAGGCGCACCCCGGTGTTGTCGCCCTGATCGGATGGTTTCCCGTCGTCTCGACGCCGCCAGTAATCGCCGGCCATTTGCTTCTTCCTGAAGTATCGACCCCTATGTCCCGATCTGGCTTTGTAGCGAGCGGCTATCCACGAATTTACGTGCGTCGTCGTGTGCAGTACGGACCAGCCCGCTCCCGGTTCAGGTGACCCGCGCCTGCAAACCCCTCATCTTCTACGTGTCGGCGACCTCCGTCAACTCGCCGGCCTTGAGATTTCTAGAGACGCAACCGAGTTATCTGGCGGCATACGGTGGGGATATCTCCATCCCCCCAGTGTCCCGGTACAGCTGCCTCTCCAGGTCTTCACTTGGGCCTTCCTTCACCCCGGACCAGTCTGACAAACGGAGTTGGTTTCATACACGTACAGACCATCAATCGATATGCAGCCACTGCCTATTCGTACGTACCCCGGTCGTTGTCGCCTGGACGGCCGCGGTCTCGCCTCCGGTTGCTGGCTTACGCGTGAAGTAGCCATATCCACCAGACATGTTACCCGATCCCACTTGCGTACATAAAGTACTTGGATCCATGCGCATCCACTTCTGCGTTCACCTCCGCTTCACAGCATGCATGTTGCGCATGCAAGACATGGACGCCGTCTAGCCTATGACAGCTCCGAGCCGTAGGCGCTGCCCACCAGTTATCTAAGTTGTCTGTACGGAGTACGGATACAGATATCTACATGGCCTGATTTGATCCCCGAGTCCATGCACGCCACACAGTCCGTTCCATCTGAGCCGCCCTTCTCTCGTCGTCTTCGACCATTCACCATACAGTGCGGCGGTGGTGGCCGTCGTAACATCATTGTCAGCCTTCATCGCTCGCCGCCGTACTTCGGACAACACGACACGGTCACCATAGGATGCAGGCTCCTACTGGGCCTTTTCGAAAACTGTGCAAGAGGCCCGTCGAGATCTAAAAGCGCCATCAGCCGCTGTGGTGGGGAATCGCCTCACCAAGAAGCCCCATCCGGCTGAGGCTACACCAAATGGCATCACACTAAACGCCTGTCAACCCACCTCACTTTCGCCCCCTATCAGTGCATCTATCTGTCAAGCTATTGCTCACAGCTTTGCTTTTTGGGGAAATACCTGCCATCTTATTTCCCCTCTTGCCTTGTCGCCCCAATCGAGAGCCCATTGCATAGCGCATGATGGTGCGCCGGATACCACTTTGCTCATCTCCTCTCACCTTGGCCTCGCGGTGGATGGCTGCCGATTTTGCGCTTGGCGCCAAAGGGCAGTGGAACTGTGCATCTCAAAGCCAAGCGCCAGCATAGCGTCCATTCGTCGTGGTGGTAAATTTTTGCCGTTGCTCGCACCATCAGCCATGTACACACACACACACACACACATACATATCACGCCGTTGGTTAGCACACACCTCCCCACAACCGGGTCTCATCACTTTTCGCTATTATCGGCATCGCAATCTGAGATGCCCAAGTCGTGCTATCATTGCGCTTGATTCACCGCGCGTCCTCGATGGCCCCTGCCAACCTCGTCTAGGCTCCTTTATGAACAGCATTGGATTTTGTTCAGCCTTTGCTTCTGGCATTCTGACACGGATCATCCGGGGCGGGGCGTCAGTAAAGTCATGCACAGACAAAGCACGCAAGCCATGGTGCAAGCCACACCTATTCATTACAAGGTCTCGTTGCCAGAAGGAGTTCGGAGAGTTCGGCGGACCTCGAAGATCGAATCCAACGGCAGGGAATCTGGACGACCCGCCCGACTTCGCCATCGCATCCGGACTAGAAGCGGCACCGAGCACGCAGTATCTTTCCTGGTGGGACGGACGGCTGGACGGATCAAGCTCGCCAACTCCGAGAATACTCTGTTGCAGAGGGGAGACAAGGAGGGCTATGCACTGGTGGCACGGAGTACGCATCGCGACACAAATACGGTTAAACGCAGCGCCAGGAACCGCTTATTACTGCAGCTTGATGGAAGGAATTGCGTCAAATTCTTTGGAGATGCTAAATACCCGCCTTTCGACATCTGTTCAATCAATCAACTGATCCGGTGTCGACGTACTGGGCTGGCATTCATCTTGGTCCGTCCTTGACTCATGATTAAGGTCCTTTGAACAAATTTTAAGAGCGGACCAATAGCGGTCCTAGTCATGAACCCGTACACATCACATCCGAGATGGTGGCTGCCGCACCACCGCACACAGCCTACTACGTAGATGGCCATTCCACAAATCCCCTAATCCAGGAGGACCCTACCACCCATCACACGTGCAGCAGGGGAGAGCCTTGGACGCCTGCGGGGACCGGATTTTAGTGCCAAGATCGATGCAGAAACCGGATCTAACGGCTTTGAGTACGAAGATCCCACCCGGTTGTCGTTGCTGTTTGATGCTTGCTTGCAACCGCGCCATCCTGTTATCAGATGATCGCCGGTACACTGAACACTTGCCAACGCGACCGGCATCACGCCCAGAGAACTGCGGGAGTGGCGACAACCAATTAATTACCCCGGCATGTAGCTGAGATGGCGAGTTTGCCGAGTTATACTGATACCTAAGAAGCAATCCGTCTTCCGACTGATTTTGCTCCGCGCTAGTCTGGAACTGGCCTTGGCCGGCACGAACAGTGGCCTGACAGTATCATATCATCCAGTGTTGGTTTCTTCCAGTTTTGGAGCACCTGAGATTTCCCGCCCTGACATTTGGTGGACCCGGCCCTCTCAGCTCCACGCTGCCATGGCGTCCAGGGTGCTGATTCGTCGGTCCGTTTCGTTGGGAGCGGCTCAATGGCCTCAAGGGGAATGCGCCCAAGGACCAGCATCAAACTGGGCGAGAGAGGGAAGGGATGACTGGTCGACCAAAGCTGGTTGTTCACATATTGGCACTCCTTTGTTTCCATGCCCCAGCGGCCATGGTGGCGTATTCTTCCCCAGACGACAGCTGTCTCCAGGTGTATTCCAGACCGTTGCCGGCAGTGTTTCGGGGAGGGAGCAAGGATGATTTCAGACGCCTCCGTGTCGCCAAACTGACTCTTGCAACGATTCCCCCACCCAAAGCATTATCGACACGACGCTACGTTGTCGTTCCATCCATCTAGATATCGCGTCGGTGCGTCTACGATGGTTGGCCGAGTTAGAGAAAGGTGGAGGCCGTAGTTAAAGTGTGGGTGCTTGTCATCATTAGATGATGCCATTACCGTGATCGACGTCTAAACTCTAGATTATCTCAGGATACCTAGATGACTGTCTCTGGCAGCAAACCCCTCGCACGCTTACGGCCAGCCAACCATGACTCGTTTCTCCGGCGGCCATACTATGTAGTGTCTGTCTCATGGAGACGGTGAGCCGAATACGGCACAAGGTGAGCGGCTGGGATGGGACGAGCTACGAGTTTGGCATACTACGTACCCGTACATCGCTGCAAACACAGTGCGGGCGCGCCAGGGCGGCGGCCGTGTCTTTGCTATTGGCGGAACACTGTATGGATACTCTACGCCACCCCCAAAGAAGCATCCCGGTGAGAGTCGCACGACATTGGCGTGCAGGGGGTGGGAGAATGTGCATTTGTTTTCTGCAGGTCTGGTTCGGAAGAAGTGTTTCAGTCACTTTCCACGAGCGACGGATGAGCAGAGAAACATGTTACACCACCCTTCCACTATGCTTATGGATGGCCAAGAAAGAGAGCGAAACGCCCAGTCGAAGCCATCATGAGGGGGCCTCTTCCCACTCGAGTCAGCTTGGCGTTGCATCGACAAGCAAGAGGAAGGGAAGGGAATCGATGGAAGAAGACAAGAGAGATAAGAGTCGACACGCGGTGAAGCAGGCTAGCAAGCGCCAAGCATCCCTTTTTCCCCTCTCCGATTAAACATACCACGGCGTGGATGAGTCGAAACTGGAGTGAACCTCAATTAAAGTTTCGGATCGAGTCTTGTCATCCACTCGGACCTCAGCCGGTGGAGGTGGACGGCGGAAAGTGACGAGAAAGTCAAGGACTATCGACGAGACTAGGGCTCGGCCGCCGAGTCGCTGTCGGAGCGCGTCAGCTTCCGGATCATCCGTGCCAGGCGAGGCAGCGCACAAGGCCATTGGAGCCAGACAGTCCGGGGGGCAAGGCATGTCCTTGTAGCAGTTAGGGTCTTCGCTGCTACTGCGGATACTAATACCTATGTATGCACTTCGTAAGAAGTACGGAATATGAGTACGGATATAAAGCGCCCCCCTACCATGGCGTAGCCAATCATTACCCTCAGCGCCATATGCGGCCGTTGGGCGAGGACGAGGGGGGTTTGGACGACGACCTCTATGGCGTTGCCTATACACTATGTGCGCAGATCACTCACATCTACAATTCGGCAGCCGGCTTACTCGTTTCCCTCGAGCCTTGACCCGCGATATGCGCAGGACGGGCAAAGTTGGGGGTTTAGGAATGTTAGAACGACATAGGCGCAGCAAGAGAGCATCGAGAATGGATGGGTATCGAGGGGCCTCTACGCATGTAGTTGATGACGAAGTCGTCGCCCCGTACTCTGTCGAGTTCATACCCGGCTCCATCGACATTCGATACTGACGACCAACCTGCCATACGGGCATTTTGGTCCGTGTCCGTCCCTCCAAGACCAATTGACTAGATGTGCGACCGCCCGGCTGAAGGTTTCCTTGATTGTCTGCCAGCCCAAAAAAAAAAAAAAAAAAAAAAAAAAAAAAATCCGGGGAAGCAGGAAGAGGCATCACACCAGGGTGGTGTTTCGCACCGTGGATTGTTGTGTCTCAATCATGATACCACCGCCATCACCACCATCGCCGACGGAATACTAAGGCACCACTGACTGGTCTGGGTGCAACTTAGTCACCCCCATGCGCGTGCTCTATGGAAACCGAATCTGGTCCGACTGACTGCCATCGTCAAGCCGCAAGTTCCAAGTTGGATTTAAACTATCGAAGCGGAGTGGTCGGGGAGGGAGTTTCGACGCTTGCCAGTTTCGACGGGCTTGAAGACATGCCACGTACGGATTCGGATGGCACGGTTGTTCTGTGGGAGAGTGCAGGCAGTCAGTCAGTCCTGCAAGGAGGCTCACGAGGTCAACATCGTCTGCGCCGTCTTCGTACTGCGCCCCTAGACAGACAACCAGGGATGGAAGGCTGGTCAGGTTATGACGCAATTGAGTCGGGGCCAGCACGACCGGCCCTGCAATTACCGCTAATGAGGCTCGATGCGAGATGCGGTGCTCTCGGCACGTGGTGGGATCGTGATCAAAGACGTGTCGTTTCGTCGTCGTCCTTGCGCAAGGGCACATGGCTGTTCGGCTTCTGCTCAATTTCCAGGCATAGTCAGTACCCAGGCATGTTTCTTTCGGAACACCATTGCCCCCTCCCCGAGCCGTTCCACAGTCCATGGGAGCGCCAACCCGCGTGGGTCGCGACAGGAGGTGCCCCACGGCTCTTCAGACAACGCCAGCCCAGATGGCCGGGACAAGCAGAAAGGTGGGATGCTATTCTCGAAAGCAAACCCGGTATTCTGGCGTCGAAGCTGCGCCGATCAAGCTCCGAACGCTACTACTACTACTACTACTACATGGGACCTTTTTTCTTTCGCGAGGCGGGTAAACCCTGATTTACCTCGCCGTGCGGTGCATAGGGTCTTGGAGTATATCTCCCTCCCTCTGCTGTCACTTTTACCGGCTTACGGGATCTCTGGGCAGCAGGTGTGGGTAGAAGAGCTGGCGTGTACCTCGCCGCGCAATATGGACTGCGTCGAGACCTCTCTCGGTTGCGGCAAGGGCTTGGCGAGACGTTATCCGCCGATGACGAGCCCCCACTGATCTGCGCGAGGTTTTGGGTGTACCAAAGCGAGCCGGGGTGCTGCCAAGTTTTGTACGCAAAGGCTGCAGGAGGAGTGCAGGAGTGTGTCTGTGGTCTTTTCATCATGTAATTTCGAAAGAAGTTCCATGTACGGATATGCAGGCAGGTATTTGCTCTCTGTCAGGTAAGGCCTCCTCCTCCTCCACATCCGCCTTCTCCGCTTCCTCCGCACAGCCTTCGCTTGCGTGCACCAAGGCGGCCATGGCCATGGCTAGAAATGGCCGCCCGTGCAAGAAGAGGTGGGGAGAGGAGGAATTCAGTAAGATTGGAGGACAGGGCACATTGACGTTCACGAACTCGGCAATGGAGGACCACGGATCCGTTGAGCATTTTGGGACTCCATGTCCATCGTCAGCTACAGGACCGCATTCCGCCAGCATCGGTGAGACGGTGAGGATCACGACAGTGGTTCCAAGTGTGGTGAGTACCGGTATAGTACATCCCATGCATTCCCCATATCAACGAAGGCGGTCATCGGGGACGAAGCCTGCATGCTTCGGTGCGCGCGGAGAAGCAAACAGAATGCGGAGAAGGCAAACGATGCTCGCCAGCTGAATTTTACTTTCTTGGAGATTTTGCTCCGAGAACGGCCAACACCACGAGTCTCTGAAAGGAAAAGTAACCCCAGGGAAAGTTATCAGTCGGCGACGTGGGCCCGTGGCGCGATCTCGATGTATCGTTGCGCGTTGTCAATTGCTACACGGCTGCTACTCTAGACTGGCCTCATCCCATCTCATCACACGTCGTCGGACCAGTAGTTCCAGTCAAAGAGGTTTCTTCATACCGGTATGGTACTATGCATGGAGATGGAGCCGTTTACCTTGAATACATACATCCGAATGGCCATCATCCCCCTTAAAAACCCGCACTTGTTCGTTCTCCTTTTTCATTGCTACACATGCATTTCCGGAGACACCAGTCCAACTAATCAGGGGGGGACCGACCTCTTCGACCCCCCATTTCCCCCCATTCAAGTCCCTTTCCCCCCCTTCAAACCCCCCTCCTCCCGCCGCGGTAGGTACATAGGTTGTTGGTACGGCTTCCCTCACAATGGGGGAAGGGGGATCAAGCGGCCTAGAGACACAAACATGGGGCGAAAAGAGGCAGGACGGCGATTCAACGCACGAAATCTCTTTCGCTTCGGTTCTCCGTACTCATGCTGCACCGACATGGGTTGCGCGCGAGTCGTCGCGTCCTGCAGAGGCTCAATGACGTAGAGCCCCGTTTCACGGCCCTCGCCCGTCATCGTGAATTAACCTGCCAGATCGAGCTTTTCTCTCGTCATCTAGACGGCTAGGGCTCTTAGCGGTGCGCAGGGCTTGAAGCGGGCGAGGGTTAGCCTCTCCCTCGGAGCCTTGGAGACACGCCGCCGCCCTTCCAATTCATCAACCAACCCCCCACTGCGTCGGTTTCTTCTAGCCCCAACCCTACTACCTTGCCGCTGCCAACTCGGTGCCTCTGCCGCTTCAGGCGGTGCTGGCGCTGGTGCTACAGGGGAAAGAAACCAAGGCCAAGGGCTCATCAATGAACGAGCTCTGCTTTGAGCGCCTGCGACGGCAACAAGGGGGCGGCAAACACCAGCCCCGTGCGCTAACAGCGTTCGCCCGGAGCCCGCAGTTTCGGCAGCGACCTCCACACTCACGGCTAGGGTGGTGGCAGTCCACTCAACTCACTAACAGGACCTACACGTTTACTACCATGTACTTACGTTGCAGCATCTATCAACTAACCGCGTTGTCCATCCAAGTGCTACAAGCAAGCTCTTCTTGCTTGGACAGCTAGACAGTGATAGACGACATGGGCCAAACAACGGAGGGGGAAGTAGCGGGCTCCCGCTCTCTTCTTCCTGCCCAGATGATCTCTCAGGTCTCCGTTATGGCATTCACTGTGGCATAGCGTAGGCCGGCATCCAAGATGGTGAGGAAAATGGCTCCCTGCCGTAAAGATAGATCATGGTAGTGTAAGGATACTGTACGCTACAGAGAGGACCGACCGGAACTTTTCGACCAGAGATCAGCATCCGTGCCCACTTGGGATGGTAGGGGAACACGGCTACCACAGGCTTGCTCCCCTCTCCCCCCCCCTGGCGGCGCGACGGCCCCTCAAGGATGAATGGATCTAGACCACCAATGGAACCCATCAGAACCGTCAATCTCGAGCCTCTCTTCCCGTCTGGGCGCTGGAAATTGCATCTGAAAATGGCATGGCCACATCGAACGAACACGAGAGGCATTCGACAAAGCCGTGCGAAGGGGTGAGCATGCATCCCAGCCGTCTCACACCCTCCCCCCCCTTGAAATCTGCAGCACCGAACTTTCCAAGTGACTCTTGCTACCTAGGTAGGTATGTAGACGGCGAGCAGAGCGCACACACGGTCTCTATCTATCTCTCTTACCAACCCTGCCAACTCTCCGCGTCAAGCGACGGAACCTTTTCAAGCATAGACGTTTCCACCCTCACTCGGGTTCGCCTCGTTGACCGCTCCGTCACCGAGGACCTTTTTCTTGGTTGGGGGCTTGCCGAGACATACATCCTTCACACCGCACAACGCCATACGCAGTCAAGCCAAACACCACAACACGGCAAACAAGACCACTAGGTAGGTTGTCTAGATCGGGGGCATAGCGACGACCGGCACCGAAGAGGAAGTGGTCCACGGCACGGTTTACTTGTTCTGGGCCAGTCCCTTGCAGCCGGGTCGTACAACCAACCTACAGAGCTTGGGTTCGTGCTCGCCGGTCTTTTCTTCGTTTGCCGATGACGATGAGACGGAGTGAGACGCGTACCTCTCGTCTGGTTCGCCCGTCCAATGACCGTTGGATCAAGAATGCGTTTCTTTTTTGTGCGAGCCATCTCGCTTGCACTCCACACGGGATCGGCCCTGCCTTGCTTTGGGGGCCCCCGCGTCCTATATCTCAGCTAGCTATTCATAAGTACCTAGGGCGTTGCGCCTCACCGGGTGCATCTCCGCAAAGTGGCCACCAGTCTCGAGAGAGGAGTCAAAGTGTGGCTTGGCCGCGCTTCTGAGCCGCCATCAATCAGGACACGCCGGACGCCTTCGACATCACCCGCCTCGAGCTTCGGCCAGGTGATTTCGGGGCTAAGGCATGCAGCCATTCTCACGGCTCGTCCACTACGCCGTCGTCGGACCCCAGATCCTTGCCATGTCCGGGCCGCCGTTGCTTACTCTCTCTCTCTCTCTCTCTCTCTCTCTCTTCTGCAGCGAGCTTTTCGGGAAGTATGTCGCCTCGCCCACTAGTAAGCCTCAGTTGGCATGGCATGGCCGAAGCCGCAGTTATCCAATGGAACGCCCACAACGGCACGTCTAATAAAAAAATAATAAAAAAAGGCCCAGTTCAGGCCGTCAGAGCTAGAGGATGTGACTACCGGTAGGCACTGTGAATGCTGATCAAGAAGTAATCAATCGATCGATCAAATAGCGGTGAGATTATCCATCTCGTGGTTTTTTTTTTTTTTTTGGGGCCTTTTTTGGCCTTTTCGCTTCACTTCTTTTTTCCTCGCTTGCGAGGGCGCAGGTCATCCATCTCCTGCGAAGAGCCTTCTTTGGTAGGTCAAATGTCACAAGCTGATGCCCACGGCCGGGCCGACAAGGCTTGTCTCCAGATCTACAGAGATTGAGTTTCGTTCATATGCCGGTGCCGGTGTGGGAAATCACGACAAGGTGTCCCCCCCCCCCCCTCCCCGTCCCCCACACTCACCCACTTTTTTTCCACTTGCGGCGCCGGGCCTCGCCGGACCTCGCCGCGCGGTCGATCCGCCTCGGACTGCGGCTCTTTCGTCAACCTCTGTTTCTTTCTTTCTTCCTTTTTTTTTCTTCTTTTTTTTTCTTGTTTTTTTTTCTTATTTCCCTTCTTGTTTTCTTTCGCTAGTAGCCGTGATATAAAAACCCGTGTCTCTGTTGGTGTGAGGGGGGCTTACATGAGCCCGGAAGGCATGCGTGCGCGGGTGTGTGTGTGTGTGTGTGTAAGTGTCCTAACCGTGTCGAGTACCCCCCAAAAAACAAGGTCCTTTCCGGAGAAGTCGCTCCAAGCTTTTCCTCAACGTTTAGGATACAGGGGACTCTTAACTTTGTCGTGGGAAGAGACCACGGACACAACGTAGACTACGGAGATTTCCTTCCAGCGGGAAGAAAGAAAGTTGGCCCGCAACAACAAAAAAAAAAAAAAAAAAAAAAAAGAAGAAGAAGAAAACACACACTTGGTGGCTTCCCCCTCGTTTCGTACTCTTGGGGCCATTCACCCGGCTGAGGTGGGAAATTGAAATGTTCGTTGCGATTTTCGGGATAGAATGGGCTAAACGGGACCGACTGTCGATGGGCATGCCGGAGAGCTCGGTCTAGGCGTGGTATGTTGATTGGAAGGACGGCGTGGTAGAAATCCCGTGACCATAGAGCCGGGAAAGGAGTTAGTCAATATCATCTTGACCGAGTGGCTGGCATGCAGGGCGTTCTCCCACAACCATCATCATGGCTGGCTGCTATTGACGGAAAGCTGATAATCTGACAGATGACCTTCCCCCCTCCCCGAAAGCGAAGCACTCGATGAAACGCCGGCTGTTCTTGAGATTTCTTGAATGGGCACGAGGAACGGCTCACTCGGTTGATCGCACAACGTCGACCGCCTATCTCACGACGCTAAACACCAGCCCCCAAAGCCAAAGGGGTTTTTTTTTTATTTTTTATTTTTTTACCTGTGAAGTCTTACGGCAGACACGGCTGTTGTGGGAGGTAGAGCAAACGGATTGACCGGACTTCATCTACAACTTGTCGGGGTGGCTGCATGTCGCTGAGCAATCCGCCAATGGTGAGACGGCGTGCCAACCCCGCATTCTAAGGGTACGGGGAGATGCTGTCAGATTTACACGCACCGCATACAGTCAGACTCCGAGACTTTGGGGGGGAGAGAGAGAACAGCATGGCTCTCGCTGTCATAGTTCGAGAGGGGGTTCATACTCGATACCTTGTTTGCAAGTCTCGTCCCGATTCCCACCCATACTGCATACGGACTGACTGCTGTGCAGCGTATCCTGGAATGCGAGCGCACCATGAACCCCGCCGCTCATTTGCTAGTCATGATGACCTGTAGGTTTAATTACACAAGGCATCACGGGATGTAGGTAGTGGGTGTCGATGGCACAGTTCGTTGACCCAGTCCCGGAGAGGAGGGGGGCCAAGATGCAACTTCTGGCCTACCCCGGCCTAACTTGCAGAGTGCTATGCCCGTTGATGAGACGACATTCTACAGCGCGTTGTTCTTGTCCAGCCAATCAGCCCCTCGCACCGTCACCCCACACAAACCAGACCTCTGCTGCGACGGGGAGGGCCGCACAAGGACGATGTTGGGGAAAAGCTCTGGGCGGTCGTACCGTGTCGACCTTGCATGCCTGCGGCGGCACCTCGTCGCGGGGCACGGGTGAGCAATGAAGAAGGGGGGGGAGGAAGAACCGTTTCAGCATCGGCCAGAGAGCACGGTAGACCTTGTCCATCCATACTCCAGGTCCTAGGTAGGTTGGTCTGGGGAAAACGGGGAGGATGGGGAAGGGGGGGTTAGAGACGCGACGAGGCGCTAAGTAGCACGAGTCCGGGTCCGGGTCTCATGATTAACTTGATTTTTTTCTTGTCCCCTTCTTTTTCTTACGTTGCCATGATTACAGTGGCGGTTGGGCGAATTGGCTTTCTTGGGGCTTGACGGGCACCGCCCTGTATTCGCCTCACATTTGCCTCTCGTCTCGTCCGACGTTCTGTTGGGGTTTGAAGCCGGAAGGGGGAAGGGGAGGGGGGAGGGAGTTTGCCTCGACGTGGTGGCGGGCCGAGGTGGCGGGGAAGTAAGACGGATGGACGGACGATGGTGCTGGGGCCGGGTTCACCGCTCTTGGCGTGGCGTCTGGAAGTTTTTTTTTTCCTTTCTACTTTGGACCGGCGCCGGGCAGGGGAGACGAGGACCAGAAGAGGGAAGAGAGTGTGTCTGGCTCGTCCAGAGGGGGCGGGAGGGAGGTTTCTGTTGTGAACTATGCGAGAGGGGGGGGGGTCCATGACTGGCGATTTTTGCCTTGTGTCCCCCGTTTGGATGGTATGTACTATGTATGGTATGAGGCCGAAGTAAAAGCTCCCTGTTAGGTATCTAATGTTCACCCCCCTACTCTGTTGGTGAATATTCCCCCTCTATAACGATGCCAGCTATGGGGAGTAACGTCACGGGGAGCTTTCACTTGCCCCTACCACCCTGTATGTCTGTTTCGTCGTCGAAACCCATTCTCTTATTTCTCCCTCGCTGTCTGGGGGATAAGATCGTTGGGCCTCAGGACTGGATCTGCAAGTTCCAGTCCGGCCCGGCTTTCGATTTCAAGGTCCCCCCCTTCCTTGTCCGACATTGCCTCTTTTTTTTTCCTTTTTTTTCTTTTTTTCTTTCTGACTCTCCCCCTCTGCCCAGAGGCTAGGAACCTGGGGTACACGATGCGGCGCTCTATTGAGGGGGTTTGTGGGATCGTCGTTTACTGACGTTGGAGGGGCAGACGAGTCGTATTGCAGATAGCCTGCCTATTCAACAGCGTTCTGCTGAGCTTGACGTCCGAGTCGGGGCGCCGACGCGGCGCGGCGCGGTGCGGCGCGGGCGTCGTGACCATGTTCTTCGTTCAGTGCGCCATACTCGCCGGTCCCGTCTCGAAGTGTTTATTTCTATTCTCACATTACATCGCCGCCGCACCATGTAAACCTGACGGGCGCGCGAGTGTTTGTTTCTGGCTTGTGCCTGCTTGGTCACCGCCGGGTTGACGGAATGGGCAACGGCAGATGGACCGGCTACTCGGCGCTCAGAGGTTGGGGCGACGACGACGCTCTCTCACACACTCCATCTATCTCTTTGGTGCCTTTCTCGTAGCGAGCATGACAAACCCGGACGGCCAAGAGTCCTGTTCTCGCCATGGCGTTGCGAGATGGCCTGGCAGAGCTACATCACGAATCACAGCCACCCCCCCTCCTCCCCCTTCCCCGACATGGCACCCAAAGCCAGATACCCACATCGGTGAGTTAGATCGATGGTCACGTAGGCGGGGAGGCCGCGGCTCGCGGTGAAGCTGTTTACAGAGTCGGGTACAGCGGCGTGCCGCATTTCCCTCTCGATCGAAACACCACCACCCGCGGCGCGTTTGCAGAGGAAAAATGGCCCCCCGGGCAGAAAAGCGGGGAGATGATGAGGTCTCCATCACCAAGCCTAAGCGGCTTCGAGCTCCAACCCGAAGTGGACTGAGGTGTCGGTGTGTGAGTGCGCATGTGTGTCTATCCGAGGGTTATCCGTCTCTCCAGATCCGTTTCCCGACCACAGCAACGTCGCCCGCGCCAATGGGGAGAGGGGTGGAGGGATGGCAGGGGTCGCGGTCAGCACACCATCTCGAGGGGGGGCTAGTCCTAAGCGTTGCACTTCTCAAAAAAGTCCAGCGGCTCCTTTCTTTAGCTTGCCGCCTAGCCTCACTGGCGTGTGATTGGGGGATACACAGTTGCCCACCCCCTGTTTGGGTGCTATGGCGTGCCTTTCTTGGCTGGCTTGGTGCGTGTTGGTAGTGTTGGTGCCGTTGCCTGGGGGCGGAGGACATTGGGAGAGGAAGACGAGCTCTCGAGGTTGCTGTGTAGAGAGAATAAAGATGATCACCACCAATCCGGTGCTTCCCGCCTCTACAGCACACCCTCTCCCTGAATGCGGTGGATATACGTTTAATTGTGGCTCGCAGCTGCTCGCGTTTCGCGGTTTTGGGTAGCGCGCAGGCAGGCATGGGACGGAGGGGGAGGAGAGGAGGAGAGAGCTGAGCTCTCCTCTCCGCCCGTCCATTGCTATAAGCTGGGTTGGTCTGGAGATATCCGCCAGTGACACAAGCTGGTTGGACGATGGTGATAGCGGAAACTGACAGACAGGGTGGGGAACCAGACGCATCTGACATGTGAAATCGATTTGGCGTTCGAGGCAGTCAGCGATGCGAGGGGACCTGTCCGCAGGCGATGGTGGGGATATTCGAGACAAGGCGATCTGATAGGGGTCATGGGCGTCCAGTTGCAGTCGTCACCGACACGTGAGCGATGCTACGACGGGAGAAACAAGGGCTTGGTGCGAGACATGATGTGCGACGTGGGAAAAAGGCGGGGAAGAACCCCCGGTAACTGTGGCGTCGAATGGTTCTTGATATCCGGCCCCGGTGAGGTGGACGCGGGGAATGCATGTATCTTGCTTTCTCCCTTGACTCTCAGCCGTTGCCAAGGGGGGTAGTATGATGCTACTCGATGTTTGTATGACGGCAGAGGCGGTATGCGAACGAGCGCTTATCGGGTTCGATGGCGATAGAGGCTCGGGTGGACCGTGAACTGATGGCAATCATCACCCCAAAAGGCCAAGCTTGCTCGTGACCGAGGGTTGACGGGGTCCCACAGGTGACTGGGGCGTGTGTGGGCATTCGACAGGACGAACGATCGTGGAATCCGGGGAGGGCTTATCGGGAGGGTGAACTCGGGCGGAGCACCAAGGGTCCTCCGTCCGCCCCACCGGTACGCCGACGCCGAGTTCGAGGAACATCGTGCCGGAGACGTGCCGGTACGGAGTACTTACACCCAACGCAGCTCGACATCACGGCACTGCGCAAACGCACACACACCCCCGCGCCTCCACAGCGGGAAGCGGAGCTTCGCGACATGGCGTGACACAGTGACACACGAAGTGATGCACTGGGGAGAGAGGGGGGGGGGGGGGGGGTGTATGGTCACGGCGAGAGGTTTCTGACACTTGCAAGTTTAGGCGCGGCAGGCGATCCCTGGACGACGAAACACAATGTTGACAATAGGCCACAATGGTGAGATTATCGTGACGCAGCTGCACGGATGGGGAGACGTGGTTTGAGAGTAAAGCCTCGCATCGCCAGGTTCTGGGGCCGGCGGGGCGGTACGTGGCGAGGAGTGAGGCCACGACTGCACACCTGGACCTGGGACTAGAGAACTGTATCCTTATCTGATTTTGGGTTATTCCAGCTTGCCCCAAAGGGGGAGCGCGCATCTCCCTGTCGTTATCCAAGCTAGATATGCAGACCCAAAACTTGGTCGTTTAACCTTTCCCAGACTGCGAGCCTGTTGTTGGGTTGGGGTAGAGAAAGAGAGAGAGAGAGAGGAGAGAGAGAGAGAGAGGAAAGGGAAAGGGAAGGACGAGTCGGATCACCGGTTTGATTGACGCCCGGATCCTGCACGGCCAAAGTCTGGAGTACGTTTTATTCTATTTCCTCCGCCCCCTCCCTCCCTGTGTTCTTTGCACGCTGCCCGCATTACGCGGGCGGAATGGCTAACGCCCGTTGGACATGCTTTTGGAAAGGTAAACATAAGCTCTCGCAGACGGGGAGAAGACTGCGGGGATTGGGTTTGGGCTCAGACCGTGCCTCCCACCTCGTCGTAGTCAGTGCTTGTCTCCTCCCCGCCGATTGGGGAGGCCTCTCCTTTTTTCGTCTCGGGCCTTTGGTGACTGGACTGGAGAGACTTTTGGGTGACAGTGAGATTTTGCGGGGGAGAAAGTCTGTCTACCCCCCTCGAGTTGAGAGTCGTTCTCGGGCAGGATGACCTTGTTCGCCGGGTAGCCAGCCCCTTTACTAACCCTCGTTACTCGAGGGTTTTAAGTTTTGATTCTTCTCCTTCATCTCCCCGTTGCCGTCGTTGTTGGGGAACTTACTTAGGTACCGTTACAAGGTGGTTCCTCGTGAGGTCGCACAGGTACATAGTAACGGCCATACACAGTTATGAAAGCCCATTACAAGTATTCGTTGCCGGGGAACACAGTTCTCCGCAGTTGAGCGGACGGGCGTACGCCAATTTTCGTCCTGTTTTCGCCTGTAAAGAAAAACTAACAATTCCCGTAGTGGGGATGGACATGCTTGCTGCGGTAGAGAAGAACCCCCTCCTTTCCCATGGGGCTAATGTTGGAGGGGGGGGAGATGAGGGACTTTGAGAATGTCGGACACATAGACTTCAAGTGACATTATCAGCCCGGGCCTCTGGCTGGAGACAATCTCGGCGCTTCTTCTACAGTTGTGGATATCTGGTGTTGAAGCGACCGGGTTGGCGCGAGGTGCGGATGAGGCACAGGGTGGAGAGAACCAGGCCAGTCTGGATGGACACCAGGGCTTCGGGATACCTTTTCCCCTCTTGGCCGAGGCTATACGAATTGTAGTGAGGGAGGGGGTTTGTTGAGATGTGAGAGAAGGATGGCAATGGGTTGCCGGTCAAGAACGCCACGACTAACCATTTGCCACGGTGAGGAGAGGCTATCCACCCCTTTCGTTGTGCTCTCCACGGCATTGACGGGGTTGTAGTCTAGCAAGCTCGACATCCTGCAGCGGCCAGATTCCATGACAGCCTCGTTTACCGTGTATGTTGCGCGAGGAGGTATGTGGTGGGGATGTGGGTATGAGTTGCGGTGGTGGGCGGAGGGAACCGTGCCAACAAGCGGGGTTGCGTAATGGTGCAGGCCGGCTAGGGCTACTCGACGGCCTCGCGCCATCTGGAATCCTCGCCGAGAAGAGGTTTCCTGTAGCGGCATCGATACATCGCATCGTGGTGGTTTACACCACGGACGATGACTCGGTTGCAATCCTACGGCTTGTGTTGGACGGGGCGTGTTGACGTGAGGTCATAGGGGTCCTGGGGAAGAGGTGATCGTCCACCCTCCCAAGGTCTGCTTCTCTCTCATCTTGTGTGATTGACATGGACATATGCGAAGATGCAAATCAGGGCCCTCGGGCTCCAGACGGTTCCAGTACCTATGGCAATCCTTTCTCGGTGGCCAGTCGCAGATCGACCGAGCCACACCAAGCAAGCAAGCGAGCTAGCTACCTGAACCCTCTACCTGAACCCTCTCTGCGTGCGTCACCCAGAACATCAGGTTTTCACCCTCCTTTCTAATCCAGGGTCCGACGATCGCTCGAGGGTTACAGCCATTGGGTTGGAGGGCGACGGGCGCAGACAAAACGGGCGAGAGGTGGAGGAGGTGTGGTCGCGGGAAGTAGTGGTGGTGGACAACGGGAGGGTTTGAGGGGGAGGGCGTGGTGAGAGATGGATGCGGGAGTGTTCCTGTCCATAACGATGGTGGTGGTGGTGGTGGTGGTGGTGGTGGTGGTGTTGATAGCGGCGGCGGTCGAGTAGAGACGAGTTGATGGTGGTGGTGTGTAGTTTGCGCGGCGGCGGCGGCGGCTTGTAAGAGGCTGTCCTCTCTGTTGGTTTGACCCTCCCTCCTCCGCCCAAGGGCCCTTGTCTGGACATGGGCAAGACCTTCATCTCGTATGCGTCCTGGTGGTACCCATACAAAGCCCCTACCGTCTCCTCCATACAGAGCAGTGGACTGGCCGTGGGGCCCCGACCTGCATGCTGTAGGCATGCAGTATGCAGTATGCGGAATGCGGTCTGGGTGTGCATGCGAATGTATGAGAATGCGCGTCCCTCACAGCCTCTGCAGATAGCGTGTGGCGGCGGTTGTGGTGGTGCCATGGCAAGGACATTGCATGGGTCATTGGCCATGAATGGATGGATGGATGGATGGACCTGATGGTGTATGGCATGCGACCGGGTTCCGATGATGAGACGCTGTTATCAGGGAACGAGAGATTTCTGGGCTGCCAACCACTGCCTACAGCTTTTCTGTGCCGTATACGGAGTACTGTGAAAGCGCTTCTGCTGCCACGATGCTACATGCCATCTACGGGTGCTGCTGCCTCTCTGCCTCTGTCCCTCTATTTGCGGCTCATATCGTGCATGACCTAGGACGTCTTCTTCGACGACAGTCAAGGAGGGGGTTTATCTAGATGCGGTATGCGATGCCAGGCCATACCGGGAAGGAGAATGTGCACGAGCTCGCGATTTCTTCTCTCTCGATATCAAAGACAAATCTTGCATTAAACCAAGTTTGAAATGCGAAAGCTCCCAACCTGCTACAGGCGTCGGGGAACCAGGCATATCGGCGCTCCTGGGGAAGAGTTTGCCGATTTCGTACTGTAGTTTGCTTCCCGTTAGGGAAAAGTCTGTGCGACTTATGGGGGGAGGGGTACGACGGAGGAGGAGGATGGCGAACAGCCAGCACAGAGAAAGCTAACTGATTTTTTGTTGGGAACCCACGTAGTAAGGTACCTGCTCAGTCGTGCCATGGTTGGATGCTTTCCCAGGGCTAAAGAAAACACTAAAGATGGATTTGGCTCTTGGATGGCGGTTTGGGGGGGGACGGGGGAGCCAGTGTCAGTGCCATCCTGGGTATCTTTAGCAACGACAACAGTCCAGTAGTCCAGTCATTGAGCACGGAGGAAAGGCCAGCCTGGTCGGTGTGCCTGTATGGATTTTACTTTTCCGGATATAACTCGGTTTTCCTCCATCTCCTAGCCGATGGGATGTGCGCTCTGACTATCTATCGTATGCTACTTGGGACGGTAGCGCCGGCTTCGGAGGCTGGAAAGACTGGAAGAGGCTGGCATGGCTTGTCAGTTGCGCGGTGCTTTTGCTCCTGTGCCGCCTCCCGCTTATTGAACCATCCTAGCAGACGGCGGCCGCGAGGACGCGTAGTATCGGCGAGCTTATTGTTGTCGTCTACCTACACTCTGCTTGAGGGGGGGTCGACGGCGGCGGATGCTGTCGCTGGCTGGTTTCGTCCAACATAAGAGGCTTTTTGGACGGACAAGGCCGGAGGCTGCTGCTAGTCCGCTAGTGCGCTGAGAGGCTGACATGGGGGGCTGAACGGCGGGTTTTGGCTAGCGAGCCCTGGCGCCCAGGAATAACAGCAGAGAGTGGGCGTGGCGCGCCAAAAGAGGCACCGAGAGAGATGGATGTTTTGCCAATGTTGTTGCGCGGGCGCGCGGTGCCAAGATGGACATCTGTCCGATGAACGTGGCGAGGCGGGGTTTGGGCCTGAGTCCGTTCCCACGGATGGGAGATGTCGTCGTCGCTGTGGAGTGAGCCTCAAGATGATGTGAAGTGACGGACAGGACAGGGTGGCGTTGTCCTATTTCTGTCTTGCGCATCTATCTGGGTCTCCACGATGTCCCGTTGGCTATTAAGCTGTCACAGATCCAGGGTGTGCGTATAAGGGGTCATGGGCTCGGCTGGGCCTGACTGACATGAGAAGGGTGTTCGCGATGGGTGATGGGAGTTCGCAGGTGCTCCATCAGCGGCATACCACAATGGGCGACGCGTGAAATCCTCCCAGGTAGTGTAGTCTGCATACATACATGGTAGACAAGGGTTTGCCAGCGATCCGCCCTGGGGACGGACGGTTAGTGGATAAAGCACCCGTCTTTGGACTACGACACCGACGACGAAGAGGGGTCCAGGGACCAAGACCCCAGAAAGCGAAGAAGTAACAACAAACCCTGGCAGCGGCAACGCGAACGGGAACGAGATGAGTGAGTGGTTAACGGACCAATCCACGGCGTGCAAAGCCCTTTGGGAAGCCGATGGTCGGGACATGTCAGATTCGAACACAGGACGGGGGATTGGGTGGCGGGGCGGAAACGTAAAAGAGAGCAAATTCAGCGAGGCACATATCGTGAGACAAGAACCCGACTCGGTGTAAACAGACGACCCCCCCCTGCGATTCGGCTTTTGCAGAGATTTTCGCTACCGCCGTCGCCCGCTGAGGCGATATGCAGGCATGATGGCACGATGGCACCCTCAGACTCTACGTCTGCTCCAACGGCCGATGCAGATTCGAGTACGAGAAGAGGGTCTGAAGTCGATGAGTTCGGTCATCAAAGTTACGTTTGGTTACAGTCGAGAAGCGTATTTCGGACGCCACAGACCGGTGACAAGAGAAGCGGGGTGGGTGGTCTCTGGGTCGTTCCAAAGCGAGAGAGAGAGAGGCTTTCTTTCTTCTTAGTTGCAACAAGAGATTGGATAGCTCGAACGTTGCAGTAGTGGTTGCAGTTCCACCGCTGGAGGGTCGTGTAATGGTGTGTGAATGTTCCACGCCGATGGCGATGGCGATGGCGACGGCGACGGCGACTCGTCACCAGCGGCGGTGCTGGCGACATCGGAGTGGGGTGTGGCATGACAATCACCCTACCCAAGAGCAAACCAAAAAGTCAAGTCGTTCTGAACGTTGCTGTACATTTCGCCTCATTCGTAAGCTCTAGCCTTCACAGCTGCCCTGCCGTAATGCGACAACGAGGACCCGAAGTCGTCGGTCAGTGGGGACGGGGGTGAGCGCGAGTGTGCCCCGTCGAGACGAGGTAAGGCCTGGCCAAGATACCAGGACCGGTGAGAGATGTGTTGCACACTCTACAGTAATTCAGAGATGCCACCATGTATCTAAGCCGTGGGCGAAGGGGGAGGGAGGGAGGATTGATGGAACAGGCTCTGGACCGCCGCCGGTCAACGAGTGTCAAGACACGCGATGAGACTCGCCCCAAGTGCCACCACACACACACACACACACACACCCCTCTTCGAGGCTGGCTCGAGTAGCTGTTGACACAGCTGCCGAGACCACAGCGGACGGGTCTATCGGCATGGTTGCTAAGCGCGGAGGGATGAGCGACGCTGCCAAACTGTGGGCAGACGACGGCCCCTTTTGGCCGTTGTTACCTAATGCACGCCGTATGGGGCCAGTTGCACATAGTAGGGGGTGGGTTCTGTATGTGAGCTTGCAGCAACAGCTCCAAGATGGTACGGTACGCACGCACGCACGTCTTACGAAAGGGTGAACGGGCATGTCGATCTTCCTCCTCCCGCTTGTGCCCATGTTTCTCCACACCCTCCCCGGAGAACAACAAGTGGATGAGCCGCAGCTGTCTGTGTCCATTGGTCTAGTCCATTGGTCTGCCTATTTTACCTACCTGCTCCTAGGGGTTCTGGACTGGGACGATATGGTGGTGAGTGGCTGTAGCAACCCAACCGGACCAGCTTCGGTATCCGCTGAGGCTTATCTGTGGATTCGTTGTCGTCTGCGACGATTCCAGCCCGGCCGCCGTTTCGATCCCCAGGGATTAGAGCAGTAGTGGTTTGCACACTTCGGACTACACAATCCCCGCCTCCGCAAGTCGGCTTCTGGGGACTCCATACGATCCAGGTGTTTGCGTTCCAGACCCCCTCGGGAAACCCAACCCCGCGAGACCCGGTTTTTGCTCCGTGCTGAGGCCCGGTGCTTATCCCGCTGCTCACAACCACATATCACGTCAAGGCTAGAACGGATTGGAACGAACGACTGACGAACAGTGAGGCCCTCCCCTGTCAGTCTAATCGCCATCTCAGGCCGATGTGGAGCAATAGGCGCACGTCGCAGATGCAAGCCCGGGGCGGCTGGTGACAAACAACAAGTGTTTACGCCGCGCACGTTTCTAACCCCCCGCCTCTCGCCCCTAACCGCGCCTCGGACAGACTGCCAACCTCGCCTCAGTGGGGTTCATGTGTGTGAGTGTACGTGTGCGTGCGCGCTGTTGGGAGAGCCCGTGAATGTTGCTCGTTTGTCCGTAGGGATGGCGGGGAACGGTGGCGGAAAAGGAGCTGGCGGCACGGACTATCTACTCTGCAAGGAAAGCCTCGGTGCGTTACGTCGCGTGGCATGACATGGCGAAGAGGAGGAAAAAGCAGGGAGAAAGGAGCACGATTCTACGTCGTTGGCAGGGCCCATAGGTGCCGTAGAGGAGCGGGTTGAGAGAGGAGAGGACGTGTTTCTTCACTGTCTGTTTATTCCCCGACCGCCCTCCCTCCCCGTCCGTCGTCTTTTCAACCTCGCTGGACCGGGAGGCAAGTCCACTTAGCGCGCGACTGTGCGTCTTATTCTGGGTTCCTCACATCCTTACGGCTTCGGAGAACAATGCTTTGTAGGTATTGTCTCGACGTGTCGGTAGCATTTTGCTATCATGTCGCTCACCGATGTCACTTCTTGCACACCACTACAGCACATGGACGCCCTAACATCTTCTCCATTCGGCCTGCTGCGTATGGGTTGTGATCCCCTTTTCGTATTTGGACGCCCCAACAAAACACTCCATTCGGGTGGTGACCAAAAATGGGTTGGAGGGTCGGGAGCTATCGTCCTGGCAAAGTGGCCCCTTCCGTGCCCGGCCACGATCAATCGCTGTTTTAACTGAAATATGCTTTTGGATCCGCCTAATCCTGAAATTGCGAGCTGCAGAAGTCCGGGCGTGTTGCGACGCTCTTGCTTGTGGGTGTGAGACTGACACCCAAGCCATTGGCCTCTCACATGTCGTCCACAACGCCCACAGACATCCTGCAACAGGACGTTCCAGGGTTCCATGAGGCGCTTCTTGGTCCTTGATGGCTTGCCGGCTGCAGACTGTGGCGTGCAGACAGGCGCGAATGGGTGTGAAGCGATGCTACCCTCTGCTCTACCTGACCACCCCTCGTTTGGTTACCGGTCAGAAAAGACCCTGAAGTGATGAAGGTGGATGGCGTTCATGACGCCAGCGATCGTCCCGAACTCTAGACTCTTCGAACTCCTCCTCAGCTTCTGCATCCCCGCACTGCCTGTGTTGAATGCATGCTTGGATGGATGAGGCCGATTGAAGGAGGGGGCCTCTGTTGATCACCTCTTGATCGCGAGGTGTGTGGGTGGACTAGCCCTGTGGTTTGTTGATAAGTCTAGGCGACGATAATCTATGTTGGTCATAGAAATAAGGGTCCAGACAACATCCCTGATCTGTAGTGCTATGATGTCAAATCTGGGGTCATGGATGATATTTCACATGCTATTGTGTAAAAGAACATGTGAGATCTTGAATGTCAAATGGGAAGCCGTAAGATCATCGAGATGAGCGGCTTGATGCCAGCAGTTGCAACTGTGTCTAAGAAAACAGAGTTGATCATCTCCGGCCATTTCTCGTGTTTGTAGAACTACCGATTTGATAGAACCACGTCCACTACAGCTCGTAACACGTAAGTGTAGATCACTTTGCGTTCCCCAGCTGGGTGATTGGCACCGATAGTTGTCATTACACCTCTATAGGAAGGTTAGTCGGGTACACCAAGCCTGGACTATAGGCGTGGATGAACTGTGCTGAAACCCTTGATGTATTTGGGATGCTTGGAGTTCGGCTTATGAAGGAAACAGTGAAAGACGATATTATACTAGTGTTTTGTGTTGATTTCAAAGATGATACTTGTAAAGGAATCGACATCTACAGTTATAACAAAGTCATCATGCCATTTCCCGGGAGGAAAGCAGGTTTGAATTAAAGTATTGCGGTTTTCATAAGCGCAACCGGCTCAATGATATTTGTTTTACTTCAATCGATAATATCAGGTGTCTTACTGAAAGCTTGAAAGTCGAGATGACAAGACTGAAGCTTTCTCATATGGTTACGATGAGGATGAATACAGGTGTTTAAGTATAGTCACCCACGTGGAACTTTGAATCATGATTCTGAATGTGCTCCAAGAATAACGATTCATGTGAAATGATAATCACAGTCTGTATTTGGTGAGAACGAACACTTCAAATTTTTAACCCGGAAGTCTCAGAGCTAGTAAAGTATTGTACAGAAATTGAAAAATGTGGTGATGAACATTGAAAACTATGATCCAACAGCCGAATGACTTGCCGCAATAGACATATTCCCCGCATCCTTATTTTCTTTCCTTATGTACGCCTTTAGTTCCTTTAGCTGCTTTCTCAGTCTCTTTGCTTCAGCCTGGCATTCTTCTGTCGACAAAAAACCATCACGCTGGGTTGGGGCTGTTAACTCCGCAGGCACCATAATAGCCGTGTTGACTTTTCCAGCTATAGCAGACTTCTCTTGTGTCAGGCAATTATCTGGGCCCGGAGTAATGGGAGCGCCGGCGGCTTTCAGACGCAACGGAGGTTGCTCAACTTTGCCATCTTCAAAATCTTGATTTCCAGTCTGTTGGTTAACTTCTGGAGACCCACCACTGTTTGCGGTCTTTGCTCCATGGTTGTAATCAGAAATAAAAGGTTGATAAGTGACTTTTCCAGACTTATGCAAATCTGTTTCATCACGGACAAGAATGTGGACGAGCAGTTGGAACATCATGACAAGGAGAAGTATACAGTGTGCAGCAAGCTTGACCACAAGAGTTAATTCATAGCAAACGTTGACGAGGATTCTGGCCGCTTTCAAATATGTTCGTTTGAGCAGTGCAGATATCTCTGACACAATGACGTGGTCAACTTTTGTTTTTACTGCCCATTTCGTCGATACTGCATTGAGTCAACAAAATCTATTGTTGCTGCTGTTACAGAGTTCAGTCGCAACAAACCTCTGTGCTTGCTTATCGTCCTCCATGTACTTTTCCTCTGTCCCTTGGGTTCGAACTTGTCGTACCAAGAAGAGGTATGATCAACCGGCCAGATCTGATATCGAAAAGATTCTGCTCCTTTAACGGTAGGGTGCCACAGGAAAATCCGACTGACGGGTCGATTTCCTAAGCAGCCTCGGATAACCGGGAGCTCAATATCCTGAAGGTTTGTCATTTCTGACGGATGGAAACAACCAGGCGGTGGAGGTGTTATGATTGTCGCAACTTCCCCCTGGGATATGCGCCACGCAAATATGAGAGATGCGCCCTTTATGTACTTGCTCCACGCCTTGAGGGATTTCTGGGATTTGAGGCATGCCGGATTATCTGGTTCCATGAGTGGCCCCATAGCAACTCGCAAAGTCTGCATTCCATCTTTTTTGGCTATTCTGTGAACGTCATCTGGGTTGGTACCGCTCCAAAGGACCTGTTGATCCTTGAGCCACCCCTCACCGTCGAATTGTTTGATAATGTCGCATGCCTCCTGCAGACTAAGATACTGAGGCCATACTGTGCATAAAAGTGTATGCTGATCCTGTGTCTGCTGCGAAGCCCAGCAACTTGGCTTATAAGATATGGCCGTAGCGGAAAGAACACCCATGATAGTGTGTATCCTTTGATCCAAGGAATTGATGAAAAGATGAGTGATCGGGCAGCACATGGGTGGCTGGATGAGGCCCACTGCATCTTATAGAATTTGGCTTTCAATAATAACTGTTTGCCTCGGTAACAGGAGCTAGAACTGCTGACCAGAAGAGTCACTCGTGTCGAGGAAACTCAATGAGAAGTTTGATCTTATCTTACTCCCACGGCGAGATAAGAGTCTGCAGCGCGGTTGGCCACGAAGGAAGAAGCCTCTATGGAAATTACCTCTAAAGTTTTGGAGTTGAGTTCGACATCATCATCGAAGAGAGCTGGCAATCGCGCAAAAGCAAAATGGCGCGATAAACAAAGTGTTTCACAAGCGTAAATGAGATTACTACGGATTCATGATCCGTTCGGATAGTAGTCGGCGTGTTTGTAAGGGCTGCAAGGCTTGATATCTGATCACTGGATTGTAGCTTCGACGTGAACTGGACCAGTTACTTCACTAGTAACCGTAACCAGTTCCTGAAAGTTGCTCTACCGGTGACAAGTTATACTGGCATACCAAGTCGAAAGGTATGAACCACCACGGTTAAAAGCTCTGAAGCATTTGTATCGGAACAACGTGACTTGCAATTGGTAAGCAAAACGTATATCGTAGGGAATGTGAGTGTTCAAGGGACGTGTAGTAAGATGCTAGAAAGGAGTTCATGTCTGGAGCAGAAGAACGGATTTGGTTTTGTACTCGAGGCCTTTCCAGGAACTCCCAAATCCAACCTGCTGCTGTGCGTCGCTCCCGAAAAGGGAGACTGAAAGACCAGAATAGAAAAAAGTTCCACTGTGAGTAACCCTGCAGGGGTGGGGGCAGGGGTTTCGCAGCCAAGCATGGACAAAGTCAAAGATTCCGCGAAAGTTGTTCAGTCAGAGAGACGGGAGCAGGCAATGCTGCATTTCTCGCCCATCGGATGATGCGGTAAAAGGTGGTTTCTGGGAGAGCGGTCTAAAGCGAGGAAAGATGATGGCGCTTCAAATTTTGATTGATGCCCCAGCGTACCCATTACGACACCCGTCAATAGGCCGCATTGCCATATCTGTTACGCAACGAGGGCTAGGATGAAATTTGGGTGGATTATGGCGACATCGCCATTTTTTCCAACAGTTTGCCCGACTGAGTTTGAACACCCTTGATAAGCTTTCGGCTTTCTCGCTCGGTGGAATAGATTAGAGGGGGAGGTCATATCGAATTTCATTCCTTGGGCAATGCTCTTTGCGCTTCTTGAGATGTAATAACCCCCACCTTTGGCAATTGCGCAATCGTTATCATGACAAGGATAGTTGGCGGGTGAAGACTGATAAGTACGGTGATTCCGGCTCGCCTCCGTATCTGGTGCGGGGATTTGGCCGGTGAAGTGGGCGATGTAACAACAACCCGTCCTTGAACATTTCTATCATAGGTGTTTCGCGAACGACTGATTCAGTACACGGCAAGTTTAATCTACCAAACATGCAGTCTCTACGGATTGAGGGGTGAAAAACAGTCAGCTTAACAGAACATGTCAGTCAGGTCGATAGCGTGGCTTGTTAAGGACTCGAGTGCCTGTGCGTGAACATGCTATTCACCTCCCGGGGGCAGGGATATGGCTGGAGTTCGAGCCTTCTGCCGCAATAAGCTTCCGCAAGGTCGCGATCAACCTTGGCCCCGCCTTGGCCTCTTCCTTGATGCGGTCAAGTTCGATGGGGCGATTAAGCACAGTTCCCAGGGTCATATCTTGGGATGTAGCGTATCGGACGACTCGCAGATAACATATTAGAGGAGGAGGAGGAAGCGAAAGGGAGCAGGACCTGGGCTCTTTGGGTTCTCAGTAATCTGCCTCTCTTTCATCTTTTGCTGCCAAGCCAACCGAGAACGAAGCCATCCACCATGGGTAAGACATGCGCAAACACTTTTGACAAGCGTCTAGGCAGCCCCGACTGATGCGTTTCACAGCCGAGAACGTTGTTGGCAACAACGTGCAGAAGGTCGTCGAGCTCAACTCCGACCAAAGCGTGCACCCCGAGAAGACACCATACGTCACCGCTCTCGATGTAGAATCCCAAGATGCCTCTCTTGAGCATACACGCTCCGTTTTTGACGACGAATCTTACCCGGCCCCAACGGAAGAGGAGCGCTCGACGTTGCGCAAAGTCGCCGACTCGATCCCCTTCACGGCATGGTCACTTTGTGTAGTAGAAATGGCTGAGAGAGCATCGTATTATGGCGTCAAGGCAGTTTTCAACAACTATCTCCAGTTTCCCCTGCCCGAAGGCGGTCCTGGCACTGGGGCCATCGACCCCTCCAAGCCCAACTCTCATGCTGGTGCTCTCGACCTCGGACTGCGGACAGCCTCATCGTTAGGTCTTTTGTTCACCTTCTTGGCCTATTTGATTCCCATTTTTGGGGCTTGGATTGCAGATGTCAAGATTGGTAGATACAAAGCCATCGCATGGGGTGTCATCATCGGAGGTGTTGCCCATGTCATCATGGTGGGTGGTGCTGCTCCTACTGTCTTGCAGGGTAGCAAGACAGCTGCTGTCGCGGTGTTCCTCCTCAGCTACTTTCTCCTCGCCTTCGGAGCCGGTATCTTTAAGCCCAATGTCGTGCCGACTGTTATCGATCAATACAAGCACCAGCGGGAATACACCAAGGTGCTTGAGACAGGAGAGAAGGTCATTGTCGACCCTGAGACCACCGTCAACCACATCATGTTGATCTTCTACGCCTTCGTAAACGTCGGGGCTTTCCTCTCAATTGCGGTCGTTTACATCGAGAAGTACCACAGCTTCTGGCTGGCCTTCCTCGTGCCGGGAATTGTGTACTTCCTTTTGCCAGTTGTGCTTGGTGTCACTTACAAGCGTACCATCAGAGTTGCGCCCCAAGGCTCCGACCTTAACCGTTTTGTAAAGATCACTACGTTGGGTCTCAAGGCTAGCAAGGGCAATATTTTCTCAAAGAAATTCTGGGAGAACGTCGAACTCTCCGTCCTGGCGGAGCGAGGCGTCCGTGTCGGCTTTTCACAGAAGGATGTCGATGACGCACGCCGCACGTGGCAAGCCGTTCAGATCTTCCTGTACATCCCCATCTGGGCCTTGAACAACGGTGGCGTCGGCAATGTGCAGAGCAACCAGGGAGCCGCGATGACAACTAACGGAGCGCCCAACGATTTGCTCAGCCATTTCAACCCCTTGGTTATCATTATTTTCTCCCCGTTCATGGCAAATATCGTGTATCCCTTCCTTGAGCGCAAAAACATCAAATTCGGCCGTATCAGCAGAATGACGGTCGGATTCATTCTTGCTACGATCTCATCCGTGATTGGAGCCTTGGTTCAATGGCGCATATATGAGACAAGCCCTTGGTAGGTGTTCGGTTCTTAGAAGTTTAAGCTACAGATGGTGCTAACATATCTTCAAAGCGGATACAATGCAAGTGACTGCGATGGTGTCTCGTCTCTCTCGATCTGGTGGCAGATCCCCAACGTCGCCCTTGGGGCCATGTCTGAGATCTTTATCAATGTTACAGCTTATGAGCTGGCGTACGCTCGTGCCCCCGAGCATATGAGATCAACTGTTGTTGCTCTGTTTCTCTTTATGACGGCTTTGAGTAGTGCTTTGGGTCAGATCCTGCTGCCAGCTATAGCGGACCCAACTCTCATTTGGGCCTGGGCTGCTCCTGGTATTGCTCTGTTCTTCCAAACGATTGTGTTCTGGGTCAGGCATCGCAATATCAACGATGATGTTTTCATGACCTACGAGGAGGACTATGAGAGCACCAACGCAGGCGAAAAGGTTGTTGAGAAAGAGGAGAATTAAGAGATATTCAGTTTGGTGTAAAGTGCCCTGGTCTGAAAGCTTGCTTGATTGGCTATTCAATCTAAAGCAACCGATCTTCCGGCCCGAGGCAAGATACAGCGACGACCTAGTTTTAGCAAATTTGAACCCACATTACACCGCCCTGAATATGTTTATAGTCACATCGAATATGATGTTAGCACATGTGGTATTATTTTGCGGTTTTGTCAAAAATAATAATAACACTTGACCCATAGCCTGAACAGTTATAAAAATAACAAATACGTAGTTAATAGGTACTATAGTTCTTCCCCCCCACCTAATGTGGATGTTATGTAGAAGGCCTTTGCTCATAGGGGCACAACCTTTTTGCTGATAGCGTTTGATGATAAACCTATACGACTGTGATGATATGATGTTTAAGGGTCGCCCACATCGGCAGTTGCCAACGTAATGGTCTATCAGGATAGAAAATAGGATTTTACGAAGTATTTCTATAGTAAAACATACGAAGTAACACAAGTAGGATGTTAGAAGGCGTTTGGAGGATGGTAGACATTTCTGAGTCAACAGGAATCTATTGACATAAACACAGTCTTCTCTCAGTTTGATTTGCTGACCAAACTGCAAGGAATGGGAGTCTGGGGGCCTCAGTTAACAATTCCAACCCTCCCTGGTCATCCCCCTGCCCCATTCAAAGACAATGCCACCTATCGCGGAAGAGCAAACTAAGAATCTACTGAGTTAAGTGGGTGCTCCGCAGTTACTTTTTCAATTTCTAGGTAAAACCTATCATTATGCATCTGGATGTGCAAATAGCGACAGACTAGGCCATTTCATATGTGAAACTTACCACGTTGAACCAGGCACCGTGCACGTAGGAACGCTCGCTTTGTGATTTTAACATGAACCGCGGTTTTCGCAACCCATACATTCTAGCTTGATAACCACGTACAGCTAACTCTCTTCGCAAATGCTCAACGATTATTCTCCCAAGCAATGTATTGCTTCTTCTCATGTTAGTGATGAGTGGGGGTTTTTATTACGAAGTGCGACTCGGAGAGACTCCCGTCCATTGACGCTATCAAGGGTACCCCAGCCAGTTTTTGCATAAAGATTGTCGGACGATGGCACAGGAACAGGGTTAAAATTCTTGCATAATCGACGCAATACAAGCCATTCACAGTTTTGAGACCCCGCAATCTGTCATCGTCTCACGGTACAACCTCCGAAACAAGTATCATCCATTGACGTGGCCAGTCGTGGTTGTCAGCCTCGTTGCTGATCCTAGTCGACCGTAAGAGAAGATCGATTAGTAGTGACGACTCTCCAGCTTTGCGCTCGCACAGAGCACCCGAACTTCCAATTTCCCCAGAGATTTCGACTGCGCAACTTCCCACTTCCGACCACTTCCGGCCTTAACGAGTCCGAGGATCTAGGCACTAGGCTAGCGACAGTTCCCGTCAATCACCCGAACCATGCGGCTCCGCTACATTGCTTTCTCCCTGCTTATGACATCGGGATCGGTTCTTGCCGGTGAGCTCTTCACTTCCAGTGTTTGCTCCTGTAGTTTTACCCAGGCTTACAGTTTCATAGTACCGAGACCTCGAGGCGAAGCCCTTCCCATCATCCTGATCCCACGCGTATCGAAGAGTGTCCCGAAGAGAACCCAGTCTTCCAATGAATATATGGCCTCGACTGGACGAACTTGCGGCAACACAATAGAGAAAGGTGTATGTTATAATGGCAGATGCGGCATCTTCGTCGCTCCCACCGGATTCGAAGCGATACCCGAAACCGAGTCGCAATGCTTATGATGAAATACCACTTATCGGATGCCTACACGCCTACCAGCAGCAGCGCCTATTTGGGGTCTCCAACTGCCACAAGCTCATGGTACGCCTCGGCATTCGGCCATTTTTATTGCCAACGGAACATTATTAGAGCCTCAACATTACGACGGACACATTGTATATAGTCGCGTTTACATCCTAGGAACCATTTACAGTACCCTCAGTAATGACCCTCTAGGGTCATAGTAACAGTTTTGGAAACGAGGTACTCCTCAACAGCCACATCCTTACCAGATTCCTTTCCGTACCCGGAGAGCTTCATGCCGCCAAAAGGAGACTCCGCCGCCGACGAGTTACCAGTATTCATTCCGATCATGCCAGCCTCAAGCTTCTCCATCAGTCTCCACGTGCGATCAATGTTCTTCGTGAAAAAGTAGCTCGCAAGACCCATACTCGTGTCGTTGGCCCATTGAACTGCTTCATCCTCGGTAGAAAAACGATAGACACCCAAGACCGGCGCAAACGTCTCCTCTCTACTTATCAGCATGGACTGCTTCATGTCGCGCAAGATGGTAGGTTCGTGGAAGTACCCAGCGGCTAAACCTGCCTCTGCTCCCGCGTGACCACCGTGAACAACCTTCGCGCCCGCTTCAACGGCATCTTTGATATGAGCCTGAGCTTTAGGAATGGCGCGAGGTGTCGTTAGGGGACCCATAGTAGTGCTGGACTCGGATCCGTGTCCCATTTTGATCTTCTTGGTCCGCTCAACCAGTTTCTCGAGAAATTGCTCGTAGATGCCATCTTGGACATACACCCTGTTTGCGGTGATGCATGCCTGGCCAGCGTGTCTCCATTTGAGTGCAAGTAGCTGCTCGAGTGCCTGATTCTGGTTGCAGTCATCAAAGATGATAAATGGGCAATTTCCTCCGAGCTCCAGGGTGAGCTTTTTGAGCCCCTCAGCACAGTGCTTCGCAATCAGACTGCCAATGTTCGTGGACCCGGTGAACGACACCTTTTTCGTCAAGGGGTGCTTGCAGAGTGCCTCTGCAACTTCCGGTGTGTTCTCCAGAGACGTTGTTATGACGTTGAACACACCCGGGCCAAAACCAGCCTTGCTGGCCAGATTTGCGAGAATGAGGCAAGTCAGAGGAGTCTCAGGGGATGGTTTGGCGATCATGGTACAACCTGCTGCTAGCGCGGCGCCAGCTTTGCGCAGAATCATACTTGCCGAGAGTCAGTGCCTCAAACTTAGCAAGAAAACGGCCATAGATACGCACGCGATCGGGAAGTTCCAGGGAACCAGCGCTACGGCCACGCCGATCGGCTGCTTGATGACAAGTACCCTCCTGTTGGGCGCGGACGGCGTCGAGACGTCGCCTCGAATGCGCTCGGCTTCCCCAGCGAACCACCAAGTGAAGCCAAGGGCGTAGTCGAGCTCGCCCTGTGCTTCGGCCAGCGGTTTCCCGGACTCATGGGTCAGTACCAGAGCGATGTCGTCCCGGTTCTCGCGGATGAGTCGGTCCCACTCTAGGAGCTTCTTCGCGCGCGACCTCGGGTTCTCGAGGCGGTAGGTTTGGAACGCCTCATGGGCCGATTTGACGACGGCGTCGACATCGGAGCGGTCAAAATCCGGGCTCGAAGCAAAGACCTTGCCGGTGCCCGGGTCCTCAATGTCGAATCTTTTCTTTGAAGACGACGTTACCCAGGACCCGTGAACGTAAGCATCGGTCTTGAGGAGGTCGTCGTTGGCAAGCTGACTGTCGTTAGTAGGCAGGTCCCTCTTGGATAGAGAAGCCGATGTCTAACTTTGAAGGGGAGCTCTGTGACCATCGTCGCGATGCTTGACAACAATAATAGCCAAGTGGAATGAAATCGATGAAGACAGATTGGTGGTCTAAATGACGGGCTGGTGCAATATATATTATCTGAATTGGTGTGGAACTAAAATGCCGACTTGATACGTTAAACCGCTGTGACCCCGCACTCTAAGATCTTCCACGTTGCTCAATGTCTCAGATGACGACATGTTGCTGAAGTGTCTACAGCTATGGCCAATAACATAGAACCTGGCTTCAAACTCGAGCCAAACTTGGGTACGATAGCCCCCCAATAACTGTTGGTAAGTGAGAATCCTGACGGCCATCAACTGCTCAGTCCGTGTTAGGGCCAGATCTTCTTCTGTAGTAAAGTACGATATAGTTGCCGTCAATAGAAAACCCGGTGAAAGATGTCGCCTCTACTATATCCATCTCATCTAATAGTCGAAACATCAATGCCCTTAGAATGCAATTACATTTTCTAGGGTGTTGTAACAAACATGCTTTCAATGTCCATTTAGATTAAGGACCGCACTTATACAAGCAACCGGAATTCAATAGATCATTTTGGAAGAGTACTATCAGTGTTGTATTAGTTAAAGGACAGTATTCGGGAAATTGCGCTTGATTTGTTGATCTTTCTTCCCCCCCCCCCCCCCCCCCCCCTTTTCTTAGCAAATGCTATAAAGCTTCTAGCTGTGTCCACAGTATATTGTGCTTCCAATTGACCTGCGACACCAGAACATATTTAATAGTGAAGTATTTCTCGGTCTAAATACGATGTGCAGAGTAAATATTAGCTGTAATTGGGTAACCCCGGACTTGGCGAACATGGGGCCCGGCCACTTCTGGCAAGTGTATGCACAACCAGCGCTTCGTCAGCTGATATGGTGCAGGTGATACTGCCCCTACATAAAGCGTTGCCGCCCAAAGTTCCCAGCCGAAAACAAGCGTTTTTCCTATCACCTCCTTCTCTCCCTGACTATACTGTGGCACCTCTCGAAACAGCAATACATTCCTACTCGCTTCAACCCGCAAGGGCGTACAGCAAAGGATCTTTCTCCCCGAGAAGGATTCTGCCTAGATGGCGGAGGTCCTGGGTTTCTTGGGTTTCTTAATACCCTTGATAAGTCCCCCATTCAAGGACGAGTTGGGGTCTCGGGAATCAGCGCCTCTGGAATACGACATAAATGGTGACAGTTACAAGAAGAGAATTATAGTTGGTGCGTGCCTCACTGAAAACCCGTGTTCCAAATTCCAGTCTATTCAGCCGCCGTCAGCCTCATCTGATGCGATACTTCACGTGGAGGTACAGCCGATTCCGCTACTAGATGACGGGTCCAACCCCCGTAGACCGTCGGAGATACCACAAGTACGACGGTATACATGTGCCTATTCCTTTTCTGGGCTTCAGGGAGTAGCTGCTCAGTTAAAATCTGGCCTTGAAGACTCGAATATTAATGACCAGGTGATGTTGTGCCGCCTGGAAAGCTACGACTTTTTGACTTCCAACGCGGAGAGATGAGGAGACAATTCTATTCTACGACCCCAGGGAATCCATTCACACAACCCAAGTTAGCCAAGATCGCATTACAGCCACTTAATACGTCATATAAAACTATCCCAAAACAGAAGTAATAAAGTGTAATAAACTACAGCGTCCTGACATTTATAAAGAGAAGTAGTTAATTTTCCTAAGTCTAAGTACAAGAGAAAACTTACCTAGAAATACTCTTCCTAATATAGGTCTTATTAGTTAGAGGCGCTACTCTATAGCGTCTCTAACTAGAACTAGCTATATAAAGCTATCCTAGCTTTATAATATACCCCCCTAGTTATAAAGTCTATCTCTATAACTAGATAAAGAACTATAGATATTTTTATAATAAAAGAAAATAAAATAGTTATTAGTTAATAATAGCCCTTTAAGCTAATTAATAAGTAATAAAGTAAATAATAGTATTATATAAAAGGTCTTTTAACACTATATTCTATTATTTATTATTATTTACTATAGTAGTAGTTCTTTTTATTTCTTAAGGTGCCTATTTTTTTTAAAATAAGTAATAACTAACTACTTACTAGTTAAATAATAAATATCCTTTAATATTTTATTACTTAACTTTTTCTTCTTTTTTTTTTAACTAATAACTTATTAAGTAAAGTAAGTTAATATCCCTTTTGCCTACTATATATTCTAGTTTATATAGTAGTTCTAAAGCTATTCTTAGATAGCTAATAGTTAAAAGAAAGTAAAAAAGAAGTTATAGCCTTCTTTTTAACTAGTAATATATTTTAAGTAGCTTAAGTTTCTTAGTTAGTAACTAACTTTACTTCTTAAGTCCTATAGTTTTTTTAACTAGGAAATTATTTAGATTTATATTTCTATGTTATAATATTAACTATTATAGATAAATATTAGAGTTATTAGGTTAACCTTAATGACTTATTACTAGTAAATCCTTAGATATTTAGCTATAGATTCTCTAAGGATTTATAGGTAATAAGTTAGTTATTTAACTAACTAACCTATAATAATTTTCCTTTTTTTCTTTATATATAATAGAGAACTATAGTTACCCCTATTATTTATTAATTACTACTAATATATATAGTTAACTATATTAACCTATCCCTTAGTGTTACTAATACTAATTAATAGTTAACTTTACTATTAACTACAAAGGTTAACTTTACTATCTAAACTATAGATTAGTAAGGTCTATAAGAAGAAGTAATTATTACTAGTTAATTATTTATATACCTAGAGTAAGTAAGTACTAAAAAACACCTCTATAAATACCTTTACTATAATAGTTTATACTAATTACCTATTATAATAGGTTAATTAATAAATCTATAACTAGTCCCTTTAACTAGTAGAAACCTTATTAATTTACGTCTATTATATAAGCTTTATTACCTTTAGAGAAGCACTCTTAACTATAAAAAACCCCTTACTTTATATACCTATAGCTAACTAGTAATTATTTACTATATCCTATTTATTATAAGCTCTTTAGCTTATTAACTTCTTTTTCTTATATATATACTTCTTCTACTAACTAATAGCGTTAATAAGTTACTAATATAATAGCCTATTATTTCTTTTCTTTTTACTAACTAATAGTGTTAATAAGTAGCTAATATAATAGCCTATTATTTTTCTTTAAGTTATTTACCTACAAGAGTATATTTTTCCCTAGCTGTCTATACTACTAGTAGTAATCTCTCTAATAAATATATATGCCTTCTAGTCTACTAGAAGAAACACCTATGTTTAAGAGGTTATTAGGCTAACAGAGGGCAATAGTAAATAACACTATACCTATAAGTAAAAGACCTAAGCTAAGATAAGTAAATATA